CTTGTAACTTCTTATATAGACAGAAGCCTACAGTTACTCTTTCAAAACACTGCTGGACCTCAGATTTCAATTGAAGCATGACTTCCAAAGAGAAATGGTGGAGCCTAGAACTTCTCTTACACTAACTTTTCCAGGACATGGCAATTCAAGTAGTGTACCATCCAGGTGCACGTAAAAAGAAGCTGCAGATGCAGCGGGTATTGTCTGATGCTTAAGATCACCATACAACAACACTGGTTTATTATACTAAATGTGTCATTTGTGCTACTTAATTCCCCAACCACCAAAATTGTAGTCTCCAGCCCAGACACTAGGTCTGGAGTTGCTTGGATCCCCCAAGAGAATTCTAACATTAACATTTTCTTGCACTACCTATACGTGTATATACTCATCAAACCCAAGAAAAATTATGTATTTGAAACACTAATTTTTTTTATTTTATTTTAAATTTCAAGAGCATAAGAGTAACACCTTACTAGAACTTCAGAGGAGCTCTACATTTGGAAAAAAATAAATTCTGGCAAAAAGAGTTAGTGTGAACTTATGGGAAAAAAATAGAATATTAGCACTTTTACCCATCTTCTGGTCTTGGTGACAGTAAAAAAGGTTAATGCTATTCCCATAAGACAGTGGGAATAGCACCCATTACTACCACCTATTCTCAGCGTTTTCTGTCACAAACAGGAATTCCAGTGAACATCTGCTGCTTTAACAATTAGGATTGTATTAAGCTCTACCTAAAACTCATTTGCATTATTGATCTTTCTACTTCCAATACACATATTCACATTTAACAATGAGTAATTAATATATATATTTTTTTCAGTCAAAACGAACTGTGTATGTTTTTGACAGCTTGCTATAAATATTCCCCCAAAAAGAGAGTACACCTTACTACCTACTACCTACCCAAGGTGCTGCTCCCTCTGCTTTTTGTAAAATTCCCAGTAATGTGAAACCTTAAAGGGTTGGACACAGTGGCTTTGGCATCCCTGTGATGACAAAGTACTTGAAAGTTACAGCCTGAAAATACCATTCAGGTGCCTCAGCCTAAGTGATTGTGTGAGGTGCCCAAACAACAAACTTCTTTAACTGGTGTGCAGTAGTAGAAATCTGATAACACATCATTTAAATGTACCCCATGCCCTCAGTTCTCTGAGATAATGCCTTCTGTGTCTGTGGACAGTGAGGAGCACGAACAAAATGCTATGAAAACACACCAAAGTGATGCTCTGTTGTTGAACGGTGCTGCACAGAACTCAGGCAGCTGACATCCCACAGAAATACTCAAAAACATTCACTTTCTCTTAGGTATAGTGTCTACCTTGGTCAGTCAAAGCATACTTTTAATTAAACTGAATTCACTTAATAAAGTGCAATGTTAACTAATAAAACACCAAAGGCTGAAATACTCGAAAATACTAATACATGTTAACAAATGCAAAGCCTCCCCTCTTAGACAAAAAAGCTTTCTCTTGTCTGCTTATGGACAAACTGGACATATAATTGCAAGAACTTAAGAAATCCAATTGCAAGCACTTAAAAAATTTGGCAGTCATAAAAGCAGGTAAGTTGTTTTTCAACATGATTCAAACACTCCTCTGATGTCATAAAAAAAGTTATGTATTTAAGCTACCTATATGAAGATCAAAAACAATGGGTCAAATAGAAAGTAGTCTGAAGAGAAATAGTAAGTGAAAACTTGCTTTGGCTCACTTCCACAAACCAGCTTGCTGCTGCAACTAAACAAAAAAAAATCTCCAGCTGAAAACTAGTAATTTAGTTTGGAAAAATCTGTTATTTTCAGCTCAGGTATATGCAACTTTAATAATTAATATATTTCAGAATTTAATTTCCTTTCTACTGAAATAAGAGAAGCAGCATCTACAATTTTTCTACCCATTTCAAATAATCATTTTCACTGGGAGTAGAAAGCTTAGGAAGATATTATGAAAGGAGAATAAGAACATAGGAACCTCAATCTACTTGGGCATCATTTTCCATTAGGTGTATTCTTCTCAAGTGTTTGAACTGGATCTTCTTACCTGTCATTGTTACCACTTCCGTACAGGTGGCCAAACTTCACAAGTTAATGCATCACCCTGCAACACTGGCTATGGACTAAAATACATTATATTAAAGATCCACATGTGTGTTAAGGAACATGCATGATGACCAGTTACAAAAGAAAAATCCACACTGCAGGTGTTGAATATGCTAAAGGACAATCCTGTATACTATTACAAATATTTACAGTTTTAGTAACATTTGTAAAGAAAGTGAAACATTTATTCTTAGTAGCTTCAATTGGATAATTAAAATAGAAGTGCCCTTTACACAGGAATATTTTACGTGCTTCAAACTATTTGTTTTTAAAAAGCAAGAAAAAGTGTGTGTAGAGAACTAACAAATGCCCCTTTCCAATGTCACTCCCATTTTGAGGTAAGGCTTTATTTGCAAAACACTATTAAAAGTACTAAGTACTTCTACATGAAGTTTCTGTCAGCAAAAAAAAAATCTTCTCAACACTTAACAACAAAGATGACACTTTTTTCTTCATCTTGGTCTATAGAATATACAGCTTCTATTTTTATTTTTCTTCTAAAAAAGATTGAACAGAGTGAAGGAAAGGAGATCAGCAATAGCTATTAAATTCCAATCCTTCTCTCAGCTGAGAATTAACAATACTACTGCTACAATAAAGCTAACCCAGAAATAAATCTAACAGAGGAATGACCAGAAAAGCAGCCATGCCAACGATACTTGCTCACTGTCAAGAAATAAAATATGTGTATTCCTATGAATCAGCTGTCCTTTGTCCAGAGCTTTCAAAAAGTGACAGTCCCTTTCATTAATACCACTCTAAAATTAAAGACCTTGTCATTAATACCACTCTGATTACCCCTCAGCAATGAATAGCTAAGAGTTAATCAAAGTTAAAAGAAAAGTTAAAAGAAAAGGCTGGATATCTGAACAGACAATGGGATGGAGCCCTTAAGATGCCAGGCCCCTTCTGAACAATAACATTGAGAAAATGTAACCAAAATCATAAAACTTGGTAGAACTGGGCCACAGTGCCCAGCACCTTACAGGACCAACCCCAGTGACTGGAAAGTTGCGTTGAATACAAAATGATAAAGAAAATCAAACATCATAGGCTTATTTATTTATTACTACATGGTCCAGTGCATGGCAGCCACTAGGCAGTGGTCATACAACAGTTTCCTGGCACGGAGTTTGGAGGTGGGCCTGTTATCTGAGTCAAAGCTCTATGGCCCACAATTTTGGCCCTCTCGGCACATCCCATGCCTGAAGGAATGCTTTTAAAAATTATTTATGCTCTCTGCTACAAAAAAGCAAGACAGCTTCACAGTTCCATAAATTTGCTAAGAGTTTACAAGTGAAGATAAAATCTTAAAAAAATAAATTTTAAGCAGATGCTTTAAGGTTCACATCAACAACAATGCCTTTTTTTTTTTTTTTAAACTATTAAACTGTTTTGAATTAATCTTTTGCAACAAATGAATAATGCAAGCATGCCATTATAAAGCAACCAGTAACACACCCAGAACTTGATAATGACAGTTTGGAATTTATTAATTTAAATCCCCCATTGTAACACAAGAGCAGTAACAAAATAGCTGTACACTACTTCTGTTACAAATATAGATACTATTTAAAGTGACTTTACATACTCTAATGTAGGCATTTCTCACTCTACGCAAGGAATGAGTACTAAAGCAATTCAGTAACAGCAGCATCCAGTAATGGTACCAACTAGTTTACTGCATCTTAGCCTACCACAGTGTAAATTCTAGAACAGTTACAAAGAGAGTGGAGGTTTTTTTTGTTAATTCACTTACACATACCTATCAGTTAATACTATTTGACAGACACTCCTAATACTGCTTTAGTGACCCACTAAAATGAATGCTAGTCTTTTGTATTATCCCCTAATAATGGCCTGACCATTGCCTGCATTTTCAGTTCATACTTCTCTTAAGTGATAGTTGGGATAGTGGCCTTGCTAAAATTCCATTTCTGCTAATTAACACAAAGCATCCTGTTGTTAAATAGCATACTAGTTTGACTGGTATCTTCCTTTCTCAAAAGACTCAGCTGAATTTTTCTGCAGGAAAATAAATAATGGGAAAAGCATGTTTTATCTACCAGATTCCTAAGAGCACGGCAGGCAAAGGCAGGCAGGTTACAATCAGCTAAGTGTTTCATTGAGTGCAGTTTTTAGATATTTTTAGTGATGAGAAAGTGATGCATTTATTGACCATGCTGCTGATCAAAGAATAGCCCCACGGTTGCATTGTACTTACTGGACACTTTTATTGGTGCCTCTAAAATTAATATCCCCAAAATAATAGTTGTAGCTGTCAAAGCTCCTCTTCTGCTTATTACTGATGCAAGCCTTCACTGCTGTCTTACTATTCTCCTCCACTGTGAGGCATTTTCAGGTCTTTACCCATCCTCAACCCATCACTCCAGGTTGTATGCCTCCTTGATTCAAGGAGGACTTTACCTTTGCTCCCTAATGATAATGGTAGCAACACAATTAACATCAACTCCTTTGACACTGGCAATATCCAGACATCTGCTTGCAGCTAAGCAGAGCTGCTCTGAGAAGTTTGTTCACAGCTCTGACATCAACAGCTTGCAGAAATGTCTGCATTGACCTGTACAAAGTCTAGCATGTTGGAATAGGACAACCTTTGCTGAGACACTTCATATCAAGAAAGTTATTTTCACCCATATAGACTATAAAATATTCCTATTTTAAAAGTCTAGTTCTTCTAATGCTGTAGTTTCTGGGCATTCTCAACCACCAGGAACAGTTTCCACTACTAATGGATTTTTCAGCCCTAAGCACAAGTCCCACAAAACCCACAAACAAAACAAACAAAAACCAAATCTACCATCATCACCACCCCTCCCCTGCCGACAACATAATGAAACCCTCAAACCTAAGCCAAGTGAAACACACAGTGTTCTTTTTTTTTTTTTTTTTTCAGATACACCATGACTTAGTAAATTTAAACAGACAAAAAGACAAGCAAAATAATCCACCCAAGTTACCAACCTAGTTCCTTCTACTTGAGCATTATGAAATAATATGGCCATTGAACAGTTTACATTGAAAGGAACCTTAAAAATAATCTAGTTCCAAAGAACCATCTAGCCTACTAACCATCTGCCTACAGATTACATACTTTTCTTCTTATCTCCCAAATCTCTGTTTTAGTAATACTTTCTTTCTTCAGTAACTTTATTCCTGTTTTCAGTCTACTGCTACCCATGTAATCCCTTGCTGAATTGGTAAATTTATCATTTTTCCAACATTATTCAAATATCCAAAGTCTCCTACCAAAACATTTCAGTTTTCTTGTGTGGTTATTAATGAAAACATTATTTTTGTAGTGACTTACTAATAGGAAAAATGTCCATGTGTTTCCATAGTTAACATAACTTCATCCCAGTGGTTTGACAGGAAGAGTACTTCTAATCTATATAAAAATATGGTTAAATGTTACTTTTTTTCAGTGTTGTTACACACTCCTGTGAAGCTGAAAGAGCAAGAAGACTACAAACATTTCCATTCTCTTTACTATGTGGAAAATAAACAATATTGTCTTATTGACCCTAACCCATCAGGCAGCCAGTTCATGACAATACAGTCAAAGTGACTGTTCCTTTTGTCCTTTTCAGAATAGCAACAGCTTCCTCGTGGGTCACCCCTTCTAAACTCTGTCCATTCACAGCAATGATTTGATCCCCTCTCTTGAGGCGTCCATCTTCTGCTGCTGCACCCTGAAATGATAAAACAAGTAACTGTGGACTCACTCATTTATTTTTCTTCCTGACACAGTTCTGAAAAGTAGACCCCTTGCAACATTTTTGGTTTTCAGGGATACAAACAGAGCCAATTGTTGTGAAGACTGCTAATTCTGCAGTATGACCTGCCTGGTCTAAGTTCCACATCTAGAAATTTGATCTACATGATTGTTTGGTTCCTTTAACCCTGTTTTTCCAGCTAGTGTAAGATTTAAACTGTAGTATTATATACATTATATATTTTCAAGACCTGGAGAACTTTTCACCATGTGGTTTATACTTTGATTTACCATAAAAATTTGGCATTCATGATTCCAGTTTTCTTTGACTCTCTGCTGTTTCCTAGTGCCATCCAAATTATCAAATCTAGGTCAGCATCTGAATATTTCTGAAGGTCCGGTCTGAGTTCAATAAAACATTTCCCTCTATTACCTGAAGTAAATCTAAATATAAGGCAAGGGAGCTTTTTTTCTAAGTATTTACACAGTTCCAGTCCCGAGAGGTGGACAAGATTCTGTTAATAAGGTGAATAATATATATTTGGAAATTCTCAATCTTTTGAAGATTGCAGCCTTCAAATGCTGCAAGCACATTTTGATCAGCCTTTGCACTAAAAAGGAAAAGCTGTAAGAAAAGCTGTAACATTTTTTTGACTGCAAACCCAGGCCATGATTTAGAACAGTAACTGCAGTGAACTCATAAATGGATTGACTGAACAAATTTCCACCTACCTTTGCAAACACTGTCTTCACATAAATGGGTAAGTCTCCATGGGGACTGCCATAGCCACCCACAATGCTAAAGCCAAGGCCATCTGGTCCTCTATCCAGGGTAATGGTCTTGTACTGAGGAGGTCTGAGGAAAGGGAAAAGAGTATTTTGTCAGAACTTTGGATTTAGCATATAGAACACTCAACAAAAAACATTACTACTTTTAAACTAACCAATACATTTCTCTTTCCACTATAACTACAAATACTTCTCTCATAAAGAACTGGCTATTTCAGTTCATGTAAAACATTATAAACTACCTAATGCCTATATTATTATATAAAAGCATCTATTTCAAATACACAGCTCAGGACATAGTTATGGCTGCTACGTGCCACCAACATTGCTTACTAGTGAAGTACAGAGACATTGCCAGTATCTCCAGATTCCATAGTATCTACTTTAAAAATCCTGTAATGTCTTAAATTGCATCAAATAGTTTATGTTATTTAGGTTTAATTGCTTCTCTCCTAATAGATGATTGTGTATTTGTATGTATGTGTTTATTATACAGATCATTTATATGTACGTTTTCCCATATATACTTTGATAGTAAGAGATTTTGGAAATCTACTTTTCAAAGTAGGTATGTGTGGCTAAAGAATCCTTTTTCTCTTTCCCCATTCCTAAAAGAAAACAATGCCTCAGATTTATGAAAGAGCTTGATGCAAAACTTGTTTACAAGTTTTTTATTGCAGAATACTAGAAGCAGTATACCTTGTATACCAGAAACATCTGACATTCCTGGTAGCCAAGCACTAGACTGCACACTATGGAAACAGGTACAACAGTGGAAACAGAATTTCTACATGTATCAATTAATCCCAGCCACCCAATCTCAGTGAAACAATAGAGGCTGTAGAAGAAATCAGATCATATCACAACTCTACAGAGTCAAAAAAATTTGCAGCACAGCATCATGAAAAACACAAAAGAGGACCTATGGCCCACAGGTCCCATGTATACCGAATATATTAATCATGATCAAGCCAAAAATGTCATCCATTATTTGCTAGAATTTTTAAGGTTTAGAGGTTGAGTATCATCTAAAGTAACAGGCTACAGAGGCTGTACATTCTATAGTTACTGACCCTAAATCATCCTGAAAAATGCCAGTTGAAGTCAGTCCTGTAAATGAAAGACTGGACATAGGTGGATCCTGCTGCTGACCAGTTATGACACTCACTTCTCCTCCAGCTACAACCTAGGAAGAGAGGTTGGAAATCAGTGATATAAGAATGCTGACACTAAAATAGTTTCATGTAGCAGCTGGAAAAACAGTATTCAGAAACTATTCAAAATGTCACTGAGGATTTTTTACCTGCAACTCAATAGTGCCTGAAGCATTTTTTAAGATATTAACAGCTTGGGAATGAGTCATGCCTTCGGTAGATGTTCCACAGATGCTAACAATCCTGTCCCCAACCTACAGAAGAAAATATAAAAAAATCTAACTTAGTTCCATAGATTTATTTGTCTCTTTCAACAATAGCAGAACTACAAAATGACCCAGTACAGAGGCAGGTAATTCAACATCAGAATTAGCAAATTACACCAGTTTAGTGTAACCAGTGTAAAAAGTACTGATGCTTTACAGAATTGACCCTAAAACCCTAGAACTACATGTTAAAAAACAGAGATACATTTTGCATGGCATCTGAAGGCAGACAGACTGAAGTAATAAATTATCATCAGAGATTCTGTTTGACTTCATCTTCAAATAAAATTTTCTGAGAAACTTCAGTCAAATTTAACCACCTTAGATGCAGATTGGATACAGTACCCATTTAAGTACAGATAAAATCTCCCACCCTAATGTACCCTAATGCAGAGCCTAAAATATACTCTCTTTATCCTAAGCATGGGAAACGAGAGATAAAGCAGACTGCACACCTTCATTTGCAGGAATGACCACTACACTCAGCAGTGGCACTCATTCATAGAAAGCATCCTTCTGAACAACTTTCTATGCTTTTAATTTTCACAAGACGACTAAGATCCAAGACTGCTTTAGGACCTCATTTCTTAAGCTAGCACATGCCAGCAGTTACACTTGCCCATGTTACCAATCTGAATTCCTTTTTCATCAATTCAAACAGCAATCCATAGCCAGAAGCACTTGTACTACTGAACTGCTTGTTTACTGCCTATCTAGAGTAATTACAGGGCATTACCCATGCACTCTTTACAGCCTTCTTAACAATTAACTTACTCTTAATTTCTGAGTCTGAGCAGCAACTCCATTTGGGTGCATCATGGCAATAAATATAGGAACATCTCCAAGAGGACTTCCTACGCCTCCAGCAATGCTCACTCCTAGTGAATCTGCAGGGCTCTGTTATAGTAATGAAAAAAAAAAAAAGAGATTTTTCTGGAAAGAAAAACACAGAGAATTCTAGGCTTACCTCAAAAGATCACTAAACCCCCTATTTTATGAAAATTAGAATTCCTGTGTCAAGCCAGTTTTTAAGCTTATACGCTTTGCCTCACTTCAAGAAAGCAGAGAGACCAGAATGGATGTATATTCCTCTCAGTGGTAGGTGAAAAGTTGCTGATTTAGTTGAGTGTTTTATGTTAACCAAATTAAATAATTACAGAATTCAACACCTGACTCTTAATCTCAGCACAGAAGTCTGAGCAAGGAAAACCAATGAGATGGGATTGCTGACCATAGTATTGTCTACATGAACCTCCTATTACAAATGTCCTGAAGACTAGAATTAATCTTTATGCTCCCCCTAGTGCCCAAATGTTGAAGAGCAAAACCGGCTGCGTACCACCGCATCATGTACCAAATACCTCACTGTAAAAACCGCTATTGCAAACTCGTATTTTGCAGATTCTACTGTAAAAAGAGAATGGCTGAATGCAACCCATTTAATCAAGTGAACTATATGCCAAGCAAAGACAAAGAAATAGAAATATTTTGGAAAATAAGATGTAGTTTGTGACTAAGCTCACATCCATAACGAAGGTGACTGAATTTCATACTTGAAAACCTGGCAGCTGTCATGCAAGAACCTACTTCTTAAAAATAGGTGTGAAGAAAAATATCAAATACCAAAAACCAGTCTTCTAACTTTGATAAAATTCCCCTGATTTGACCAAAACAGAGTCTGCATTTAACTCTATCTCGTAACAATGAAATTAGGTCCCAATATCTCTTCCTTCTTTTGCTTTCAACACAACTTGCAAAACATGACATCATAAGTCCCGACATAAACATAAATAAAGTTTTATTTACATAAAAATATAGGCAGTGGAGATCGTACAGCCCCGAACTGGATAGACAAATTAATTTCCTTTTCCTTTCCCAAAACAATGAATATGCCTAGACTTGTTTCATTCTGTAAAGACACCTATTGACAACATCTACAAAACATATTCTGATATATAGACACTGCATGCTACAACTTACCTTTTTTATTTCAACTGTTCTTAGTCCCTGTATTTCAGAAGCTGCTGTCAAATGAATTAAAATAAATTAAAAGAAAAGTTAGACTAGAATTCCTAGAAAACTTTTTCAATAAAGCTATTCAAATCATGATGATCATTCTAATTTTCTGCTTGCTTGTTTTATACTTTTTAATCCACTCTTTGATAGTGGCTGCCATTACAATAATCAGATTGAAATACTTGTAGAATAGGTGAAAGAATCAACCATTTTCTCAATTGAAATAATTCTTGGAATAAGACAGCTAAGCATGCTCAAATAGAATAGAAAAAAACCATTATTTTCTAGAAATACGATGTATTTAGATTAAATTCAAAATTATGGCTTAGCTTAAGATTGTCAATATCTAAACTGCTGACATAAGAAGTTGCTAGTTTCTTTTATAAAAAGCTACTACAAGACACATATGATGTACTGAGCAGTGATGGCTTCCACAGTGCTTTACTAAGGAATCACTTAGAGGCCTACATCACATAGTTACAGCATTTAAATAGAAAGATCTCAGCTACCAGCTCGCATGTATAAAATACTGAAAGCACCAAAAAACTCTCCAACTTACTGGTATTCTTCTTAATGCCACTTTCAAAGACCTCAGGTGCACCAGACCCAGAAACTGGGAAACTGAACGATGAGAGACTGCCACTTCCTTCACTGACCTACGCACAATGTTAGAGTGGAATTAGAGAGGAGCTTCACTGACCCAGCTACTTAAAGTAAAACTGTAACTCGCTGTACTCGAGTTTATTTTCTGCAGTATTTTATTTTTTCTGTGCCTAGTTAAAACTGAGTCAGAACTCCACAACTTTTTGATCACTGTAGATGGCTCTTTTTTGAAGCACCATTAGACCAACAGAGACTGTATTTCTACAACCCCATGCAAAGCTTTGAAGTGCTTCTTCTGAGGGCCCAACAAGGCCCTGGTATCTGAACTTTCTATCACCTTAGAAGAGGCCTTCTAATGCAAGTTAGCCACAAGTACCACAGTAAGGACAGAATACAAAAGACAGATCTCAGTACATCCTCATGTGGGCTTTCAAATGTTCACCTACTGCATCAGCTGCAACTAAGATTAGGCACTCCACCCAACTTGACCTGCACAATTTCCAGAAAGATTTTCACTATACTTGAAGGGCAAGTAAAGGAACAACATGGTTCCTAGTAAGAATAGTTTCCTGACTGTGACACACTCTTCAAAACATTCAACACTGTGAACTTCATCTCAGAATAAGACCAGACAGAGTCTGCATTTTTCATATTGTTTAGCAATACTAATTCTGAAGAGAGCCTAAAATGTCAGTATTATCTAGTTATTACCTGCTCACTTGAATTTTGATTATGTCTTAAAACTATTTATATTTAATACTTGATAATTTTCATCCCCAGTTCACAACCAATGGAAGTTCTTTAAGGTAATTCGTGAGCTTTCAGAACTAGCTCCTGCTGGAAAGAATCACCATGCAAGCTGCTACACCACGGAAGATGCTTTCAAATGCAGAAATTCATGTGAGGTTGTAACAATCTACCATCAGACCAACAATTATATAAATAACAGAAGTCTGATGGAAAGAGCACAGGTTTCCTGTTTCTAGTAGACATGGCTACAGTAAGTAAGGAATGGAGACATTCCCTAAGCTTACTGAAGCAATACTCAACTGGATGCCAACTACTCTGAAAGTAACTAAGAAGTTTAAAGTTGACTTTTAACTTCTTCTGGTACTGACAAGAATTGGAGCTCTCTACATTTCCAGGCTGGAGCCTGGAGCAAAGTCATTTCTAGATTATATTTCTGGCTGGATCCTGTCTGTAACAGATACAATTTGCAAAACTGAACATATAAAGTGATTACTGAAAAGCTGCAAAATTTTTCCATCTTGGATCAGGTATGTGAAAAATAATTGTCATTATATAAACGGATCTTTTTATTTGCTTTCATTATTTAGCATTATTTCTCCTAAGCTAACCATTTTTATAGTTACATACCTGGCTACTCTGGGATGTTCTCCTCTCAGAGTGAAATGGCCCAGCTTTTATTCTTCCAACCTCTAGTCTTACTGTACCTAAGGAACACTAAAAAACAGTTACTTGTAACACATGTCTTCTGTTTACAAGACTAAAACCTACAATATTTAAGTGAATTTCTAGAAGATGGAAGAAGAAAAAAAAAAACCATGGACAGAGGGAAAAATGATGGACTACCAATCCTGATACAAGCACTTTGCAGAGAGGGTTCAAGGCAGGACCAGTGACACAGACAAAGTACACCATGGTACTCAATACTGAGCAGGATAATTTTTTCAAAACTAGATTAATCAGTATTACAATGCAGACAAGAAAATCACAGAAGAAGACTAATTCTATTACACTGGACTTAATAAGGAATAGCTTCTGAACTGCAATGTCAACATAGAATTTTTACAGTGAAAACTAAAAACAGTGTAACACCTCGAAGTCTTAATCATTATTTCTCTTGATATGATTGAGAACATGGTATTTAAACTGGAAGTTAGTTACTCATCTCTCTCTCAAACTTTTGAAATTATCTGTTACTCCGGATAGACACCAATATAACTAAGAAATTTTGGGCAGAAAATTTCCTAAACATCTATAGTTTAAGTAAACTTTCTGCATCTGACTCCCAGCAATAAACTGGGTGATACGGAATGACTGCACATTGGAGGTCCTTTCACTAGCCTTTAAGGTTTTAACCAGACTATTGAGCATTCACGTGCTTCATAAAATGAGTGTCTCAGGAGAAAATTCACCCTGCAATAAATATTTAAAAATCAAGACATTATTATCCTGAAGTAACAGAAAAGTTATTATCACAAGGCTAAGAAAATTAGACTTTCAACAAACAACAAGCAGTGTTAAGAGAAGACACCAATCTGCAATTTATTAATACAGAAATTTCAGTTTTGTTGCTATTTTGATTTTTTTCTTTCACTAGGAAGTTGTAAGTGTAAACTTCTGCATTCAAGAATTTAATAATACATGAGGTTGCCTTTATCATGTTTTAACTTTATTATCCTAAGAGAGATTCATGCATTTGTCAGAAAAATTCACAGTAATAGGCCAATATATCAAAACCAACCAGACATACCATTCAAAGAAGGTTTCAATACCTCATATCCTGTTGCTATTTTCTTAGGGGTGATGCTAAAAAAGATTTATTACTAAATCACTTTTATTCTATAAATAATGTTGACTTCTCAATGTTCTGGAAGAGACTTGATCAAAGCTCAGTCAAAACCATTCTTCTTTGCTTGTATGGATTTAGTCATATTAAACCATATGGACAACTCTTATTCAAAGTGAAAAATTGAGGAAATATGTACCTAAAATAACCACATCCTCACAAATACAAAAACCCACAAATGAGATTTTAAAATTATGTGTGAAAGCAGGAGGTAATACTTTCCAGTGGAACCAGTGAATAAATCAATTCCCATTTAGTTTTATTACACCTTTCTCTCTCTTCCTAAATTCTACCATTTGATAGATCCATTAAGTCTAGTGAGGGGAAAAGCTGATAGTCTTTTCACAAACTTTAGGGGATATTTCATTTGAAAACACTTCAAGAACAAGCAAAATTCTCAGACTGATGAGACATTCTATTCATCTCACTCTACTTAAAATACACTAGAATTTTCGAAAGATTATAAAATATTTTTCTAGCAAAATACATCTTAGACAGTTCAAGACAATTAACTCCTAGATCCTACTCTCATGAATGAAAACTGAATGGATACCTGAACAGGAAACAATGACTGCCTACATGTGAGTGACCATGTTTTGTTCCATTTATACTATGTGAACAAAACAATTATTAACAATAATCTGTCTAAGGTATTTTAAAAGCCCATTTCTCAGGGCTATGACAATTAACTACAAGTACTACTGAGCAATGATGAGATACTTAAAAGTTGAATATATGAATGATAGGTGGAAGCTAAGCATCTTCAATTAGATACTCCAAAATGCTTCTCAAAATGAAAGAAACTTCCCACATGAAAAGGCATTTTTATTCAGAGGAGAGGTACAGCATACAAAGAAATGCTGTGTTCTTAAATAAAATTAAAAAACTATCATGTAAGAAGGGAAAAAAAAGTACTATATCCAAAGAAGAGTATACTAACAATTTTACTGTCACAACATGGACCCTGCTCTGGCATCCTCACTAATGGGAGAATGCTGAAAATACAGAAGTCCTCCTATCTCCCTTTCTGACCACTGCACTCCCCCAGGACCCCTGCTCCCCAGTAAATCCAAAACTTAAGGACCTGTTCAAGATCTGGAAAAATATACCTTTGAATGTGAGTATTAAGAAGCATGGCCATGTGCCTATGTATTCAAGAGACGGCTATAATTAGCATCTGCTAATTTTTTTTCCAGTGAAACAGTTTTCCATTGAAAATCCTGACTCAGTGGAATCTTACTTTGAAGCATGTCTCAAAACTCTGGACTGAAAAACAGACAAGCTGGTTGACCAGCTGAACTTCCTGCCAGACTACAGGAAATATTGTATATCTGACTTCATTCTGATTTGGAAATAGGGGAAGGATATCAGAAATAAAAAATTTATCAAAAATAGGTTGGCTCCAAGAGCTGTAGTGTAGTTACTTCTCAGGTAAACTCTGAGAAAGCACTTTCTTATACCAAATGATTGGTCACTGAAAAATACATTGTAGTATTACACGGATGTAAGGTTGCATGAGACATACATAATAAAAAAAAAAATTAACGTCTCCTAATAGACCAGGTTACTCAGAGCCCCATCTAACCTGGCCTTGTACTCTTCCAGGGATGGGGAGCATCCACATCTTCTCTGGGCATCCTATTCCAGTGCCTCACCATCCTCATATTAAAGAATTTCTGCCTAACAACCAATCTAAACTTACTCTTTTGTTTAAAACCATTCCCTCTTGTCCTATCACTACAGGCCCTTGTAAACAAACTAGGATAGTTACTTTTTTGCACAACTACTCTGGTGAATTCTCCATCATTCAAAGTCAGTTCTGCACGTCTTTCTGAAAATATGAGACAGTTAACTGGCTATCAGTTTGTTCGACAAAATATAGTGTTAAGTTTCCGGTTGTTCTAGGTAACGACATTATATACAGGCCTTCTATAAGCCCTATGTTCGTAAACATTTAGCTTTCTGCACCACCACTACTCCCAGTTTTATCAGGCAAGGTATCTGAATGCTCTAGATTTCAGGAAGCTTAAGTCTGGATCCTCAAGTCATCTCATTAGTATCCCAGTAACTGTCAGATTTCAGTCTGAATAAAGTTAAAGCTTTGAAAAAATTTGGATCTCAATTTTTCACTCTTATCCATCTTCTCTTTTCCCACTACCTTTAGCAAAGCTGCAACAGCCTCCTGGTTAGCATTTCGGACATCTTCTCCATTCACTGTCAAAATCTGGTCTCCTTGCATCAATCTGCCATCTGTATCTGCTATTCCTCCTTTGACGATGTCTGACACAAACACACCTGTATCATTTCTGCAAATACATACACAAATTTTACATTACAGTATTGTTTGATGGTCATGTTTATGGCTTGCTATTAGGAACACAATAAACATTGTCTCATTTTTCTGCTGAGTGACACTGGCTTAGCTCCTCTAGGGAAGACCGGTTAGCCTAAGCACAAAAATGAGATGTATGGCCTTCAAGCCCATATGATCTGAGCACCAGACCACAAAAGACACATGGTAAATAAGTTCCAGACACTGAATCTATAGGTACATTACATACCTTTTCCCAACAATACTCAGCCCAAGGCCTTTACCAGGCTTCTTCTGGAGCTCTATATTCAGCACATCATACATGTCTTCTTCCTTGTACTGGGCTTCATCTCTGTACACAGTCAGACGAACTTTTTGGGGTGTCTGTCGGAGGACATTAATGGCTTCATCATGTGTGGCATTCCTGAGGTCAATTCCATTCACCTGAAATGAAAGCGTACAATGGTAAATCAGGCAGCACCTTGCAGCAGACAAATACAAGAGGCTTAGCCAGCAATGAAAACAAAAGCAATCAAAGAAATCACCATACTTCTAGTATCTGATCGCCAGCCCACAGTCGTCCATCTTTAGATGCTGCTCCTTCTTCATATACTTCATGAATAATTATTGCTCCCTTTCAACAAAAACAACAAAATTGCATGTTGAAAGAACAGGCACCATTTTGAACCAAAAGTAACTGAAAATTGCTGCTATAATTCATCAATGACAATTCAGATGGAATGAAAGTCAGATGCATGATGAACAAATTACTGAAACATTTAAGAAGCTCATTTATACTTTCAATTTTAGAAAGGGCTTCTTATTTTTGTTTCTTCTTCATCTTTCTATAAATGCTATAGAAACAAATGACAAAAAAATCTCTTCTATCAGACTTTAATTTCATTACTGTTACTTCACTTGAGTGACACATATTTTTCCAACCAACCAGCAAAGTGTCTGCTCCTCCAACAATGCTCAGACCAAGACCAGTCCGCCCTTTGGAGATATCAATGGTTGTTTCACATCCAGGAATGATGGGACAAGTAGCTGGGTCAGAGGTTAACATGGCTGGAGTTGAAGACCTGCTTGTGTCTAAAACAACAATGAAACATCCTGGTTACAGTAACAGAGTTCAGTATTATGAAAGTGACTTTAAAACTTTTCATTTTTTGCATTTTTCAGTTTACTGACAGATGTACAGCAATAGCTGAACAGCTGATCTACAAATAATGATTCTGCCAATTCTCCCTCCTCCTCAGAGAAGTAACTATCCTGTAGTTTTTATGCCATCAAGTACATGGATTATAGTCTGGACAGCCAAAGTAGATATTGTACACAACATATTCTATTTAGGATAGAATTTAATTTAAGCATCTATATGATATGTGCATTACTTGAGTTACTATTAACTTAGAAGTGCGCTGCTTAACCGATAACAATCATCCATCAGAAACATCCTGACTTTCCACTCTGAAGGAGAAGAGACAAATGTAGCTACTCATAAATGGCAAGACAGTCTCAACCATCCTCTTTTTCCACAAAAACTGACATGACTTTTCTCCCTCATTTAAAGGAATGCCTTTCACTTAGTTCTAGACAACCATGACACCTGCTGTAGGTCTGATAGAGAAAAACCTTTCATCCTCCTGCCTCTACAACAGGAAGGCAAGAGGTAGGTCCTCAATATGGGACACAATGTTTTATTTATATAACTGTGTAATCAGAAAATGTGCAGTTTTCTCAGTGCCTACGAAAATGGAAAACTTACAAGCTGGGTCTTTGTTTTTATGTTACAACCCCAGAGAATACAGACACACAAGGGTAAGATTACTTTTCACTGCTTCTGGTTCTGGTGAGCTGGAAGTGGGGACAGCTGCCAGTGGTTGCATATTCCTCTTCTCTGCTGGGACAGTACTAGGAGGGGCTGGTGCTGTAGTCAGGTTATCTGTCTCTGCTGGGTTGATTGCAAGCCTCACCACAGATTTGGATGTCTTCAGGAGACTAATAAACTGAATGACAGAGAGAAAAACCTATGAAAATTGTCACTGGATTGTTCAGTTGCAAACCAAAAATAAAGCAGAATTAACAGTTCTGCAAACTGGGGGTACTAGGCACTATCCTGCAGGTTTTCTCATAAGGAACAAACATGAATATTTTTTCTAAGAAATCTTTTTCCATGAACTGCACCAGACAAAAATACTGCAGTCTTTTAATGGTTTCCCTAGACAAAATATTATACTGTATAGCAGTGATTTGAGAAACAGAAGCATTGCCTATTAATGCTGGGTGGAGACCAATTCTGATCTCACAGAAGTCAATGCCAAAATATCTAGTAAATGAAAGAAACGTGCAACTGTCATTCTGAAAGAAAAACCTGAAAATACTACCTGAACTATGGAAGGGAGGGAAGGACACCAGGTGTAATGCAAAATCTAGTTCAAAGAGATACTAAAAATCCTTCAAAATCAATTGCTATCTTACAGAAAAGACATCCTCTTGAGATTCAACATTTCAGCAGAGATATTTTCAGAAATTACTTACTCAATCTCTGTTCTTACAAAACTTACCTCCTTACAGGCAATTTCACTATCTCTTACTTATTTACTGCCTCAGAGATAGCACTACATCAAAGAGTAAGATTGATGCTCTTCTAATTGCCCTTTAACAAACAGAAAGTAATCCACTCATGGCTAAAGAATCACTTTTTTTGGTAGCAAGGCAGGTGCTAGAAGAAATGCCTCCTTGATTTACTACTGAATCCAAATTGAGTTTGCAGAGCTAGAAGCTAGAAATAAATCTTGTTATTTAGGAATGGAGATATTTTTCTCTAAAGGTTTCAAATCCTATGCTTGGAATATAATGAGGCTGTTACTACAGTCGGTTCCCTTGGATAAGCACAGTTTATTACTTGATTTACCACTGACAGAACTCACTAGTGTAAATTTACGCATATTAGTTTTACTGGTTCTAACACTTTTAAAGTGGACTAGCTATGCAGAGTCACTACTGAGCAATAGATCATGGCTTTTATCCCACTAACTAAGTGTTTCTCAGGCATCAGGTCTTAACCACAGGGAAAATAAAATCACATTCAAAGCAGATAGGAGGATTCATGTAGTGCATTAATGTAAAATAACAGTTGAGCTGTAAATTTAGGCTTTAGCTTATTTTGCAGTAGTTTCCTTACCCATTCACAGTACCTGCAGATCTTTGTTTTTTTAGCCAGCTTTGAAAATTAAGTATAGTCATGAGAACCTCACTAGTTTAAGACACAATCACCTCCTACATTAAGCAGTGTGCTTTCTGCAACATTCCTGACACTTCAGAAGCACCTTTTCTACAGGATATCCCACAACAATTTCATCATCCACTGCCAGAATCACATCTCCAACTTTGATACGTCCATCCTGGAAAAACATAAAATAAAAAAATATGAACTACTGATGCTACTCCAAAAAGAATTCTTCATTCCCTAATCAGATTTAAACGTTCTCACACCTTTGCTGCCGCACCATGATCTGTTAAGCTTTTAATAACTACTCCATTAGTTGTGTCTTCCTCACTAATGGCAATTCCAAAGCCTCCTTGATCCTGGGGCAAACAGAAAAATGCAAATGGTAAAGTACTGTGACATTAAAATGTTACAATACAATCCCTAAAGAACAGTGAAGCCTGCTGACATATCAAGTCTGGGATTTGACAATGCATCAATATTTTTGTTTTAAACTATTTCTGGAATAGATTCTGCCAACCTACAAACAGTACACTGACTACCAAAATAAACCTGAAACACCATTTCAAACCCACTTCTTTGAAACTTACAAGTATGATTCAGTTTTTACTTCAAACAATTAGGGCATTGATTCTACCTGAGGAACCATCAGTAGATGGTTATAAATAAGTTTGGCAAATAGAACAAGAGAATATACTTCTATAATACTTCTTCCAGAAACACAAAGCAATTGGCAAATCAAAACCTGTCCTGTGAGGAAATCTTTGGGGTCCAGTCCCAAACAGGAAGATCAGATCTCTAGAAATCTCTTTTCTGACTTCTAGTAATTAAGAGACTGTTTGCTGTAAGAGGGACAGCATTACAAAATTGAATGAATGAATAAAAATGTGATGAAAATTCAGTACATACCTTAGGAAGTTCCACATACTGAATGTTTTTACATGAACTCAAGTCAGAAAATGCACTCAGGTTTGCAACACTGATATCAATCTAAGGAAAAAAAGAAAATGCAACTGTAAGTGACTATATCCAATATTTTGCACACAGTTAAAGTGAATCTGCTCATTTTCTAATTTCACTTAAACTTCTAAAATGCTATTGATTGAAATATTAGACTTACTTCATAGTATAGAAGAATATAAAATGAAACAAAATTGCTCACAACTGTATTAAATTTTGCAACTTTACTAAAATGTCACTTGCTTTTCTATGGGTTTATTTCTCTTTCACTGTATTATTATTTTTACTGTATTACTGTGAGCAGACAGGTTCCTCCTCTATCCAGAACAATGTTAGTATATTGGTCAAATAAGAAAAACAAATATTTACTTTACCTCTTGGTGTTGAAGTGTCCCTGAAGTACACTGTGAAGCCTCTACTGACTTTGCAGGGCAAACAGCCATCTGATTTACTGCATCTTTGTTTCTGCAATATATTCAGTTAAATAATGCAGTAAGAAGGCAATAGTACCGCCCCATGTTTCTTAGGACAAGTTTAAGTCTGGTTCTTAATTTCTGGCACTCACAATACAAATATCAAAACTGAAAACTTCAGGACATATTTAACAAGTAGTAAGACTACTTTTGTGTTCAAAAGCACATCTATATTACCTAAATTAAAAATAACAAACACAGCGTAAAACTTGAGCACATTAAAAATTAAACCTTTTCAGCCAAACCTTTAACTACAACTTACCTGATAAAGATTACTTTAACTTTAGATGGTGCACATTTGATTATTGAAGAAGCATTCTGATGAGTCCTTCCATAAAGGATTTGGCCATTTATCTAGATAAGGAAAGGTAGCAATTATTTATCAAAATATTTTAATTCCTTACACTTAAATAATTTTTTAAGCCTTCTAAAAATCCATGTGAGTGACTAAAAAGCAACTGTATAAATAAAAAGAGAGTTATGTCCTACTTTCACTCTCTTCCAGTAAAAATGTTCACTATAGTTTGACTTCAGACTAACACTGTCACAGTGCTAAAAATGTCATTCTTTGAGTTGCATTGGGTTGTCTTGGCACATCATCTATTTTCACTTGCCATTGATCACTTCATGACTGATGAGGTAACCAAGCAGGGCCACAGGAAATTCTAACCATAACAAAGAAATGAATTGCTTATATCCAGCAATGAGATTGCTATTATTTATTGAATCTCTGGCACTTCAAATCCCTCAGCCAGGCACTTTATACACAGAAGTATGAACATGGGCATGTTTAGTGGAGTTTTAGACTAGATTTGATGAGGAAGAGGGAAAGGGGCTGTACTTCTGCATGTCAGAGTGGAACCAGGAAACACCAACACTTTACAAAGCAGCAGGGAGACAACTGTAAATTGACCCTAATGAGCTAAGGAGACATCCTCTCAAAAGGTGAAGAGGTTGATAATCCATCATGTGCCTCTACGCCTACACAGGCAACATGGGTAACAAACAAGAGGAAATGGAAACCAGTTCCTTGACTGCACCAGAATGGTGCAATTCAAAGTCTATAATCTAGCTTCTCCCATAGAAACTTGGTGGGATTAATCACACAACTGGAACATTTCAATCAAGGGCTACAACCCTCCCAGAAGACAGAAGCTGGGAAGAAGGGGCAGATGTACTGTGCTATGTGTTAAGGCATTGATAGATTGTGAAGAGCTGCTTCTGAGAAATGGCCACAAACAGCTCAATAGCCTGTGGATAAAAATGTAGGACAGTATCAGTGACAGACACCTTCTGGCTGGGGTCCACCAGGTGGACCATCAGGTGCTCGCCTGATCATGGTGAGCCTGTTGACAAAACTTCTTGCTTCAGATACAGAAATCATTGTGCTCGCAGGCTCTCGTCCTGATAGGGGATTTCAACCACCTGCATGTCTGCTGGGAAGTGATACAGCTGACTGCAGGCAACCTAGAAGACTCCTGGAGTGTACTGAGGACAACTTCCTGGTCCCAGTATTCAACAAACCAACCACAGAACACTGTTATTACTGGACCCAGTGCTCACCACTGCAGACGAGCATTAGAAAGATTGAGACTGGAGGCAGCCTCAGGTATAGTGACCATGCCCTAGTTAAAGGTCTCAAGAAACAAGGGCTTGAAAAAGAGCAGTCAGAAGTGACCCTGATCTATAGAATAATGGACTGTTAAAAGAATTAGTGGATTAGTAGATTCTCTCAGAAACTGTCCTTAGGGACAGAGGACCTCACCAGTGCTGGTAGCTTTTTGAGGATACTCCATCCCATGTGTAAGGAATCAAGTTAGGCAAGCTGGAAACCAGCATGGCTAAACAAGGATCCTCTCCTCAAACTGAGGAATAAGAAAAAAATGCATAGCCATTGGAACTAGGGACAGATGAGCTGGGAAAAGCACACAGATATGATTTAGTTGTTTTACATTTAGGAATAATAAGGCACAGAAGAAAGGGACTTTGGCAAGGAATGCAAAGAGTTATCAGAAGGGGGTCTATAAGGGGTCAGAAAAAAAGGCCAAGGAGAGTGTACCTCCCTGGCAAACAAGAATGGACAGCTGGTGGCAATGGGTATGGAGAAAGGTGAGTAACTCAAAAAATCCTTCACCTCAGTCTTCAATAACAGTCTGGCTTCTCACATTTCTCCAGTTACTGAACCTCTAGGTGAGGGCTGGGAGAAGCAGTCTCTCCCACTGTAAGCAAATAGCAAGTTTGAGACCACTTGATGAAACTGGTGAATAGGCACAAGTCAATGGGGTTTGATGATCTGGAATCCAGGTTCCTGAGGCAACTGGCTGATGCAGTTGCCACGGCACTCTGCATCCTACTTAAGAAGTCACAGAGGTCAGATAAAGTCCCCAGTGACTGGAAAAAATAAAACATCTCTCTCATTTATTGAAAGTGGAGATAGGAAGACCTAGGAAACCACAGACCATTGAGCCTCATCTCTCTGCCTGGGAACATCATGAAGCAGATCTTCATGGAAGCAATGTTAAGGCACATAAAAGACAAGGAGGTAATCTGAGACAGCCAGCACAAGCCAGCACAATGGCATCTACTTAAGCCTCTGTAAGGCCTTAGAAAAAGTTCCACACAATGTCCTTATCTTCAAATTAGAGAGAGACAGATTTGAAGAGTGGACTGTGTGGTGGATAAGGAACGGGCTGGATGGAGGCAGCCATAGAGTTGTGATCAATGACTTTGTGTCCAGTCAGTGTTCTGTCCTGGGATCGGGGCTCTTTAATATCTTTATGAATTAAACAAACGAAGAAATCAAGTACACCCCCAGCAGATTTGCAGATGACACAAAGATAAGTGGTGTAGTTGACACAACATCTTTATGATGGGAAGCCATCTGGAGAGACCTGTGAAAATTTGTCAAGTGGGCCTGTGGGAATCTCATGTAACAAGTTCAGTTACAAGGTCCTGCACCTGGCTGGGGCAATCCAAGACAAGAGTATGGACTGGGAACAGAAGTCATTGAGAGCAGCCCTATAGAGAAGGATTTTGGGATTCTTGAGAATGAAAATCTGGACATGAGCCAACACTCTAGGCTTACAGCCCAGAAGGCCAACAACATCCCGGGCTGCATCCAAAGAGATGTGACCACAAGATCAAGGGCGGGGACTCTCCCCCTCTACTCTGCCCACGTGACACCCTACCTCAAGTATTGCATCGAGTTATTGAGTTCTCAGTACAAGAAAGATGTGGATCTGTCAGAGCAGCTGCACAGGAAGGCCATGAATATGATCAGAGGGCTGGAGTACCTCTCCTGTGAAGACAGGCTGAGAGAATTGTGGTTGTTTGACCTGGACATGAGAAAGCTCTGGGGAGACTTCATTGCAGCTGTCCAGAATTTAAAGGGGGCTTACAAAAAAAAAGAGTAACTTTTTAATGGAGTGATAGGGATATATGACAAGGGGCAATGGTTTTAAATTGAAAGAAGAAAGTTTTAAATCAGATGTCAGGAAAAGGCTCTCTACCCAGGGGATAGTGAGTCACTGGAACAGGCTGCTCAGGGAAGCTGTGGATGCTCCATCCCTGAAAGTATTCAAGGCTGGACTGAATGGGACCTGAGCAATTTGATCTGGTGCTTGGCAATCCAGGCCATTGAGGAGGACTTGCAAGTAGACAATCCTTAAGGTCCCTTCCAACTCAAGCCACCCTATGACTCCACACTTACTATTTGAAGATGTAACCTGGCAATCTGTTTTCCATTTGTCAGAGCAGACTAGTCACTATAATACCTTGAAGCACCTATGATTCAGATAGGAGAGGAACTTTCAGTGTGAATTTGCAGACTAAGGCAAATATTTGCTCATATTTTATTAGTTACACTTTTTCTTGAAAATGGAAAACTGTGGTGCTGAAGTTAACTCAAGAAAAGATAAATGATTGAAAAAGGACAATTTGGACCTACATGAAGGGCAAGTAATAAAATGCACACAAGTAGCACTAACAGAAGCAGAGATACAGCCAAGCAACAGATGCAAGCACTGTACTGAGGGCTGAGCATAACACCAACTTCCTATGCAAGATGTGTGCACCAGGCACAGTCACAGTGATACTGAGCCATGTCATTTACACTGGAGTTGACAACCCAAATGCAGCACTCCCTGTGGTGTTTGCCACAGCCTTGTGAAAAAGACATGGTCAGGCTGCCAAGTCAGGGGATGGGACATGGCCCTCAATAGCTGATGGACAGCTGCTTGGGAATATAGGGAGCAAACTCCAATGTCTCTTCTCAGAAGATGTTGAGGAAATTTCTTAGCCCGAGTCTGACAAGTTTACATTGTGGCCAGTAAGCAAGAAATCACAAGACTTCTTGAATAGATTCAGACAGATGCGTTTCAACATATTTTCAGAATATTCAACATCAGGATTTTAAAACAGATGTTTCAAGTGAACTGTCTCACAATACTGGAGTCTGCAACAAAGTTTCCCCCCAAGACTTGGTCCACAGTGGTGCCACAAATCCCTTAATTTCTTTCTTAGTCTGCAAGTTCTAGCCTATATAATTTACTCAATCTCCCCCTCAAGCTTTGCTCAGATTCACCATTCCTGCTCTATACCACTTCCCCAGTACATCCTCAAACATCTCCACATTTAGCTCTGAAGTTAAACAAAGTGTTTCTGTGAGGGTAATGTTACCTATTGCTATCAGAAAGAATGGGAAAATCTATGGTAGGGAATACATCTCCAAGTATCATCAACTGGGCTGTGGGAATATAGAAACCTAAGTTATGCTCACATGTACTGAAATGTTAGTTGCATGTTTAGTGGTTCAGTCACTCCACTCCACCAGAAAACAGCTCCCAAACACATCATGAATTAGAAGTCCATAATAAAAATAGATCTGCTCCTGTTTCCCCAACTTAATTTCCACATTCTTACACAATAGAAAAATATTCTGCTATTATCACACTTTTAATAAGTAATAAGAGAAGTAATTAGAAAGTCTGGAGTACTCCACAGATGGATGGACTGGAGGACTTCAGTATTTTTCACAATCTGCAATTCACTGTCATTCCATACATCTCAGTGACCTAGAAACTGCTCTAATCACACATTTCTATTCAACATGCCTTCATTCAGAATTGCAAAATCTTCTGAGTTGGAAGGGACCCACGAGGATCATTGAGTCCAACTCTTAAGTGAATGGTGCATACAGGAATCTAACCCACAACTTGGTGCTGTTATAACCATGAAAAAAAATGCTACACCTATTTGGCATACATCAGAAGGAAAATCTGATAGCATAGTGATATGAATTTGGATAAATCTGGGATTTCAAAGTCCACTGAAAAACATATATATTTCAGCAAGAATCTGGCATTTGAAGTCAGTACATTTGGGCTTCAGTATAAATTGCAAAAACTCACCTCTAGCAACTCATCTGCAATCTGTAATCTGCCATCTTTTCCAGCTGCTCCATTTGGATCAATTCCCACTATAAAGACACTCATCCTGGATCGGTCTTTGTTACCAGCAAGACTAAGTCCCAGACCTGTCTTTCCTTTTTCCAGCTCAATCATGTGTAGCTCCCCTGGTAGATTTCCATAGCGTTGCATGATCTTTTCTAAATGTAAAAGTGTGAGCAGCAGAGGTTGGATTTACATTAGAAAGTTTCACAAGTCACCTAGAGAGTCAAGATCAGTGCTCAGTGGGCAGATTCTGACAGAAGAAGCCCAAAATGGATGATTAAATTTTCAGTGTAAACCATACCTTCTTTTACCTGAGACTTAGGTGATTTATAATAATATTTCTAGCTTCTTGTTTTCCTTGTAAATTCAGAAAACTTTATAACTTTTCTTAAAAAAGAATTCATACACAAAATAAGAAACTTTCTCCCCAGTAACACCTTCATGTAGCAGATACTATTACACTGATCACTGCCAACAGCTACCTGGAGTACACTGAAATTCTTTAAGTAGTTCCACGTTAAATTTGGACCATGGAGAAAAAAAAAAACAGATTGCAATGCAATGAAGAAAAAGAAATTAGTTTTATATTTTACTATGTGCATCTGACCAAGTCTGACTAAAGCACAACCTTAGCTCCCAAACCATGACACACATGAGAAAGAAGCAGCTCAAACTGGCTGCCCCCACACCTGTACCTTATATAGTGCAGTTTTTAACACTGAATACTTCAAATATTATCACAGGAAAAACTTACTCCAGCTGTAACCAAACTCATCCTCCTTTTCCACATCTTCTGGGACTCTGATAGAAGATGACTGTGCAACATCACAGCACACTCCTGAAAATGCTGAAGGAGGGGGCAGAGGCAAGTTACAAGGCGAAGTCTTTTCTGGTTCTGTATCAGACTGACCAAATGCCTGCGGAGAATAAGAAAAATCAAGTGGCTGAGAAGATGCAGGCTCTCTGTAGGGCAAACTAGTATACAAAAATGTCAAAATGGCAATGTCTATAGCTTCAAGTTTCAATACCAAGCAGCCGAAACTCTAAATTAATAACAGTGCACAGAAAGACTGAGAGATCAAAGACAGAAACAAACACCAGGCAAGGTAAGAAAAAACATCACTCCAAAATGTATCTGGAAGCAAACAACTCACAGTAAAAGCCCAATTCAGTAAAGTTTTATGTGCCACTTTATGTTTCAGAAAAAGCTTTCTATGAAGACTCAAGTGCTTTTAAGGCCAGATTTGTGAAAGACTTATAACCAATTTTATTTTTAAAAGTCATCACATATAATTTCCTTCCACCATATGCTTAGGAAGCCAAATACAAGGAAAGAGAAAGTAAACAAAAAATTGGGAAGTTTCAAAAATACCCACAGGAAAAAAAAACAACTGGCATATTAACTGAAAGTGTAGTTAAAAATCAAAATTAAACAGATTATAACTGAAGAAATCCATAATGACTGGTTTCAGTCTCATTTACTAGTTTCCTATAAGCTGCACAGAGAAGATCGAATAAAGGAGGATACAGGTTAAATCACAAGAGTCAAATACTTTTGGTAAAGTACAAAAAGTTAAGAGGTATAAATGCATGACTTCTGCAGTATAATGGTTAAATGCCCAAATCCACAGCCTTGCAAGCTTCCATTCACGACAGTTTCCTTGAGGAATATGGACTCAGATAAGGGATTTCCCTATGTGAAATTTGTATAATTTTGCCTTGCTTAGAGTGAACATGTAAGCCAGAGACTTCTCTCTGAATATCATCATTCTTTAGCTGGTGCATGCCCAAGAGACCTAGATACTTGGAAGATCAGTTACTGATGTAAACAATAAGAATTTTAAATGAAAACCAAGTATTTTTCCAACACTCAAGTTTTCAGGTGTGTTGCCCTAGTTTCTTAACTTTACTCTCATCATTTCAGCTCTCACTACCTCCATCAGAAAGTCTGAACACAGTACTTCAGATGGTGTCTTTTGGTGCCAAAATCATTCACGTAATAACTCTTCATCAGAGGCAACAGTGAATAACAACATACACCTCAGAAGACTTTATCAGCTTTCAAATTGAAGGTGTTGAGAAACCTAGGAAGTTACCAGTTTAGTAATTTTGAAATTTAAGAAAGAATTAAGAATTAAGAATTCCCATGTCTAAACAAAAATTACTTATCTTCCCTCTGTTACTCCAAAGGTGTAAAGATAATGCAAATGCCCTATTTCAGTTCTCTCATTCTGCTTCTGCTTGAGAAAGATTTTCCTTTAATTTAGGAACTTGTTCTAGGAATTTAACTAAGAAGTCAATAAATGTCAAAGGTGTGGGAAGTGACATCCAGGCCAGTAATTTTTATAAAAAAATGCATACAAGTGTTATGTAATTTTTTGTATCATTAGTCACATTGCACCATGCTTCAAACCTAAGACAATGTCATACTCCTAATATGATGCCTAACATCCCTAAATTAAAGCAACGAAATTCTAGCAAAGACATTGTCACCTATAAGAATCAGAGAAAAGCAGAAACACTACCTAGTAATATTAAAAGTTATTTTTCCCAATGGAAAATTCATGTGTCTGCAAAAAGAGAAGTTGGTAATACACCTCCACATTGAGGAGGGACAAAAGGGAGAGAAGCTCTAGAAACACTCTTTTGCCAGAGTACTCCCTAGATTTTTACTAAAGCTAAATAATAGCCTGGAAAAATGAGGAAATACAGTGTTATGGTGGATTCACCCTGGCTGGAAGCCAGGTGCCTATCAAAGCTGTTCTATCACCCCCTTCTTCAGCTGGACAGGGACGAAAAAATATGAAAAAAGGTCAACCCATAGTCTCCCCAGCTACCATTATCTTGAGACACAAATCCAATCCAAGTGTGAGATCAAACCAGATCAGCAAAGCTTTGTTTTTATGTTTTAAAACCAAAATTAACATATAACTTTAGAGGTACTCTTTGTAAGTGACAGTGTCCAAGAACAGCAAAATTTAAAGAAAACATGACAAAAAAAAGGAACAAAATATTGGTGTAAAGGACCTCTGGAAGATTTGTAAGGTGTGGATGTAGGGCTACATCCTGACAGATTAGTACTTAATAACAACTGCAGCCACCACAATATGACTGACAAAAAAATGCATCTTTTTGTACCATTGTGAACATATAACAACATAACATAATCTGAACATTTCTGAAGATGAAGGAAATGCTGAAATGAAAGTGAAAGCAAGTCTCCTTTGTAGGAAGGCAAAAACTGTACTACAAAGCCGCTTGAGGGGAGGGGAACACGTTCTGCCCGCAGAACTCAGCCCGACACATTTGAACAATCAGAAGCAGAAGCCAGTCCCCACAGTCTACACACACATAAGACTTTTGCTCCCTGAATCGGGCAACGCACAAAAAACCTAAAAGGCTTTAACTCATGAAATACTTTCAGTGTGCCACACCACAGTATTTCATTTAAAATGCAAAGCATCCAACAGTTGCTGAACTGTCAGAGGGTCACTCCGATCACAGCCAAGCAAATACGGAAAATGGCAGCAAGTCTGGAACTTGAAAAAATGAAGGCACAGGCAGAAGAAGAAGAAGAAGCAGTACTCCAGAAGTTATCACAGGCCATGTACAAATGTACAGCACACATAGGTAGGACCAGCTGACAGGAATTAAGACAAACCTTGAATGGTGTGGGAGCAAAAGGGTTAGTTGGGGAACAACGGAAGGTAACCCTAATTGGATTCGATACCTCCTACAGTAACAAAAAACAGCAATCCACATGTTATAGCACCTTTGACAATAGACAGTACTATTAACCAATAACTAATTTTCAATTACGGATTCATTTTACTAACCGCAGCAACTTTATTAACCTGATTTATAAATGGAAAAAAGTATTTAAGGGCTTCCTAAGGAGCCTGATTCATCAAAAGTTTCTCAGTATACATGAACCTGAGTTCAGAAAAGGAGAGAGATGACAAAAGGTCATTCTTATATCAATGCTATAAAAGAAATTATGCATAAACTACAGGATTACCAGGTTTTCTTTTAAAATGCATGCAATTTTTTCAGAAATACTTTTGAAAATATAGGAAACATAACTCATCATTTATGTTACATGTCTACTCCCTTTCCTCAGAACTGTAACAAAGACAAAAAGAAAGACAAAAAGAGATTTCAAAACACACATGCAATTATACACCACATATCATATTGTGTTTGTTGCACATTCAGTATTTTCAACAACATGGGAAAATAGACAAAGGGCACAATCACTTCCAAGATGTAAAACCAGCTAGAAATTACTTTATTAAATCAAAAAATGCATGCGTATTAGGATAAGGTTTTTTTGTTAGAGGTTAACGCTGTTCCCATTGTGAACAACATGCAGTAAGTAACACTAGCCACAAAAAAGCCTTTTTTTGTATTTCCAAAGATGTCAGCATCCTATTCATGGTGCATTAAAAGAATTTTCAAGAAGCAGAGGGAAAGATATTTTCATGAAGCATCATACAAAAAAACCCTGTCAAAACCCTGTCAGTCTGGTGCTTTTTTTTTTTTTTTATGCAAAAATAAAAGAGAGATATCAAAGCTGGAAAGTCAACCACAAAAAAAAAAAAAGAAGTATATAGCAGCAAAACACCTTACACTGATGAGAGAGTCACACTTAGTTGGTATTTCAACATATACCTTAGGGACTGATCTTATAACTGAAAATTTACTCCTTTGGTAGCTCTAAATAGATCAGATTTAGCGGTTATGATTAATGGAGCTGGCATTTTTTTAACTTCTCCGTAACTTTTCTATGTATAAGCATGTCTATGTCTTTTAAATTCACTACATAGAGTTCTCAAGCTCATCAGCATAGCACATAACCCAAAGTGGTGTAGAAGAATTTAAACATAGAGAGACAGCAATGGGAAGGAAGCACATGTAGGATGTTTGCCGAGAGAAAAGATAATTGTGTCATCATCCAACCTTAGTAGTGTTGAACTGAGAAGAATCAGCAAATGGGTTAGTGCTGCTGAAGACAACTGGCTTACTGAAAACACTGTTCTGCGGGAAAGGCAGGGAAGGGTTCTAAAAGGAAAGCATAATAGAAACTAAGCAAAAAAAAAGTTTTAAATGAACCCTTTTCACTCATGAACCAAAACATGCACATTTAGTTGTATGGGCTAACCAAACATTCTACATTCCACATTCTACACTTGCAACAGATATGTGAAACTGGATAAAACTGTATTTGCCCTGTGTTTCTGATGCTCTTTCAGCAGAGAGGAAAAGCACCAATCCTCACACTTGTTCTAGACCATGAAGTACATCAAGTGCAGAATTACACAGCATTTATGTGCTTTGATATTCAAACAATTTTTCCCAAACAACTCAGCATATGGGACACCCTTACACATTAATTAATTGAAGAAATTGTGTACTTCTGGATTAGAATGAACACAATTATCTGCAGTAACACAGTAAGTTTAGTTTCATTTTGAAAAACAGATATCCTCATAATTTGATTTAACTTCTGCTGCAATACACTCACTATTTATTTGTAAAAGAGAGGGCTTAGTAATATTAGGCATCTCTAAGCAGATTTCATATCTAATATAATAATATCTAACATCTAACTTTTGCATAGCACTTTGTGTATGTGCATATGCATGAGTAACTGCCTGAATTTATAGTTTATTAAATACTCTGGTCTTCCCCCAGAGTAAGATACTTTCTCATTATCATTTAACAGAAAAAGAGTTTACACATCTAGACTGAATAAAAGGATGTAAGTTGACCATTTATATTCACTATGCAGTTTTTTTTACTATATTCTACTTTGAGATCAGAATCTTCTTAATAAGGAGGAAACAACTCTGATTTCAAATAGTATGTTGGAAATATACTGTGTATAGTTAGAAGACTATATATCTATACTATGCATACTTAGAAGTAATTTCTACACTGGGTGTATCCATCCTGCAATTACCTGTAAGTCTTAGGGCAGTAAGTTTAACACTGCTAGAAAATAGTAGGGACAGGAATATGAAAACCTTCCAGGATCATTTATATCAAGAGTAATTTAATCCAAAGGCATGGTGCTGTTAAAAAAATTTCTTAAAGTATTTGTTTTTTAAATGCTCCTGAAAATAGCAAATACATCACTTAACATTTATTTTCAAATACCATTTGCAAAAAAGTAATTCCATTTGGTAATGACCACAAATGTCTTGGCTCTACTGTATCTTCAGCAGTGACAAAGTAATGCCATTAATGACCAAGGTTTGTTGACTGTCAAGTCATTCAAAGTCAACAGGCTGTTTCCCTAGAATACAAGATCTTCTGCATATGTGATTCACATTTGATTTTGAATATTACAAAGAAAGGTTTGCAAAAAAATAAATTGTAACTAACTGTAATCATCCTATTACACTTTAACAATTACATGTCGTCTGAATAGAATTTTAAAACGAATCTTGTTTAAATTTTAGGCAACTGAAATAAGCATCACAAACACTTCATATGTCAACAGTAAAATCCTAGTAAAACAGGAAACAAAAGTTCAGCTACAGTCATTCAAAATCTTGCCTTTTTTATTTTGTCATGATTGTATAGCTCCTAAAATACTAGCCCCAATATTAATCCATGCAACAGTATTGTATTAATATGGACTGACTACCACAATAAAATATGGAGCATTTGAATTTGTCTGAACAGTTCAGTTTAGCATACTTTTTGTGCAGTCTAGGACAAGAAGAGCAAACGCAAAAATAAAGGGAATTCTTTCCCTAACTGGTTTTTAAAATTTGAATCAAATCCCAAAGTAACAGGATTTTTTTCTTTCTGTTTTTTTCCTTTTTTTCAACTAACTTCCATTCAGAATTTTATCAAAGTGTCCAAGATGCTAAGTTATCAGAAACTAGCTAGCATTTCATACAGCATAATGCTGTAACACTACTATAATCACAGTATATAACAGACAGTATAATACACAAAGACGTTCTTACTCAGAAATACACAGAAGGGTATTAGTATGAAACATAGACTTGACGGGTAACCCTATTATCTAAACTATCACTATCTTTTCACAGACCACTTGTATTATTCAAGCTACTCTGGAGTACTCACAGGCTCTCTTTTAACTACTAAACCTGCATGAAAAAACAAAAGGGAATAAATGGACTCATTAGCTAAATGTCACTTAAAACTGACTGCTTGGTTAAATCATAGTGCTACCATAATAATTATAGCTTGTGTGTGCAGGCAGGTAGCTACTTGTGTGACTGAAATGAAAGCAGGAAATTCCCTTGTAAGATATTATTAAGTACAAATGCAAGTTTCAAAAGATGAAAACAATAAACATAATGCCATTTATGAAGATGACAACATAATGTATGGGTACAGGAAGAGCATTTGCAATGTTTCTGCTTACAGAGAAACAAGAGTTTGTTAGTACAGTCAAGAAATAACCAACAAGCTTAATTTGAAATAGAAAATAAAGAACTACAATCAAAAATAGCACAGGGACATTCTCTAAATAAAAGTAATGATAAAGTAATAGCATTGTTTCCATCTCAAATGGGCCTACACATTCAGTAGCAGCAATTCTGTTCACATCACAGCAAATGCAAAAGCGTTATTTTAGTAGTTTGAGTGTCAATAATCAACATTCATGCAACTTTACCTTAGATGACTGACGATAAAATGGGTTAGTAGTTTTCTGCCCACAGGGAGCAGAAGCTGAAGAAGGGCTATAAAGAGACTCTGGCTGGGGAACAAGAGTTATGAGACAGCTAGTAAATAAACATGCAGCTTACACAAACTCTACAATGAGGAAGTTTAGTTTCTAGTGATGCAAGCAACTTATATTAAAGCTCAGTAGTTTTTGTCTGCAATGTCCATGCAACTTAGTGTCAGAAAACTTCCGTGTACTTCTAAGTCCTTTCATTAATGTCCATAGAATTTTTTAACAGGTGCTGTATTTCTGCATGCGCTCCTCAGACACGCTGTCAATCTCTAACAGATGGTTTTAGTTAGACTCCTACTCTGCCCCCCAACAAATTATCTTTCTTGAGGCTTTTCAAAATAGTTTGAGGACGGCGTGCTGGAGGGTATCTCCAAATCCAAATCGATTTCATTCTAAATGGAAATAATACTTAAATCAAATCTTTGTTCCTAAAATAGTTGAGATGGCACTTTCAGGATTAAATATCCCATTCCCAAATACCACCATCTTGAACATTTGCTTCATCTATTACTATATATTACATCTCTTTTTACATTCTTTATGCTTACCCTTGGTCTGCTTATAATGCTCTGTACCATAAAGACTACAGGATTGCCTGCCTTCCGTATGGCTTCCACAGCTTGTTCATGGCTGGCATCTCTGAGGTCAATTCCATCCACCTGTAATTGGAAGGCCTCATCTTAACATTGCAAGAAGCTACAAAAGTCATGAGTCAGTTCTGAGTTTTGGTTAGGAAACTTTGACTAAAATCTAACCCCAAAACTCTATTTCTAGTGGATCTTTCTACTGCCTCAAACACAGGTTTGATATTTCCAAGAGCACTGATAGGACATTAAATAAATATTCCCTTTTTCCTCTGTTTTAAAAACAGGTTTTTCAACATTTTACTTCAGACTCCTTAAGTCTTCCCTTAAGCAGTGTAACAGAAGAGATATGATAATATAAAGACAGTAGTAGTGTTTACCAAATACTGCTTCCTGTAAATCCCACCTTAAGAAAAACCTATTACCCAGGACTTTATGAGATTTATAAACTGAAACATGTTAGGTGCTGGAGAGTCTTTCATGATGGGATATTATGCCAGTAAAGTGCATTTCTTTCTCTTGGTTGTTTGGTTTTTTTCTGTTTGTTTTTTTTTTTAAAAGCCAGGTAAGATCAATTTTAGCACTAGACACTTTCTTCAGAAGTTAAATTTTTAGGTCAGAACTGAAAACCTTTCTACCTACTGGAGGAATGCCTTTACACAAGATGCCTAAAGATAAATTTGTGGCTAGGTGGTTTTTACCATGTCTATATATGTATGGATGTATAAAACAATTTGTCCTGTTATCCAGGTAAGAACAATGTTAAGGTAAGGTTAGTACTGGTAAAGTATTGTCACAATGACCACAATAAAGCTAGAAGCTAACACAGAAAGGTTATTTGTTAGTGGCAATTCTAGCACACAAACTTATATGATGAGGATTACCCCTTCAACTTTTTAATTGTCTAACTCTTAATCATCCAATGCAAATAAGAGAACACAAAAACAATCTGAGAGAAATTCTAAACCTATGAGGAACTGGACAAGAACAGTAACACCCTTCAACTTTCCATGTCTGAAAAACTGTATGCACTACCGAGATGGAAGTTTACATACGCCGCAACTTGAGGAACTGAAACCCTCCACTCAGTAGCAGTCACATTGACACAACATTTTGATTTCACTCACCTATTCCAGCTTCTGCAAGCATCACTGTTAGAGACAACTGCACTCATAAAACTCCAGTCATTAAGGTGAAATGAACGTTTTTAACTTTGTGGCCTTCAAGCTCCCAACTTATACACTGCAACCTGTTCCATCCTGTTACAGAAAGTGCTACATATATATATATATATATATATATATATATATATATATACACACCTATGTATTTAATATATATATATAAGATATTATTTCAAGATCCTCAATATTGATCTTGTAGCAAACAGCAAACTGCAGTTTCAGTACCACCATGTAAGTCAAGCCCAGTCTGAGCCAGAATCACCAGCTCCATCACTCTGCTTCTTACTGGTGGATAGTCAGCCAAGGACATCCAGCAGGATTAAATTAAGGCAGTTCTATTAGCCTGACAGTGGAGACAGGGCAATGTCTGACACTGATACCAGGAAAAATCTATTTCCTTATCTTTATTCTTCAATATCTTTAAGTGAGAAAGCAGAAGTGGCTGCATAAGTACAGGACTAGCTAAGCAGAAGAGAAATGATGATAAATCCCGCCCTGCAATACCACATTACATTACACTCAGGCATGGGCAAAATGTTCTTAATGTATCAAGTATCAAACACAGAATTCTTCATGAGTAAATTAATGTGCCTCCCTTAACTCCTGCACAAGATGCATAAAAATAATGTGAATCAATTAAGATTTAAGATGGAAATAATCTTGGCATTAATTTGCATGGTTTGCACTGGCTGTTTCTATTGCTACCCAGTATGCAAAGGTGAAAAATCTTTTTTCAACAAACTTAAGTTTTTTCCTACACACTCTGGTTTTCAAATAGGCAGATCAAACAGTTGGCTTTGTAGACCCCTGCTCACCCAGTCAAGTCATCTGTTTCAGGTTGAATAACTTAACAGGCAGCTGTCCACACACAAATATCAGCAGATGGTACTACACTCTGTGCGGCTCACGTGGTATCAGCTGTAGCAATTGCACAGCTGTTAGCCCACCACACATCCATCTCAGTGACTCCTGAGATGCTGGGGGAATTGCAACAAAAGGCATTCAAGTAGTACCTCTACAATCCGATCTCCAGTTTTCAGTGTTCCATTTTTGCCAGCTGGGCTGTCTTCCAGGATGTGCTTGATAAAGATCCCTCTCATCACTTCTCCATTACTCAGGCGACTTCCCATCCCTCGTCCTCCAACAATGCTGATCCCCAGTGACTTGCTAGGCTCTCTCCAGAGTTCGACCCTTTTGTGACAAAAAAAAGGACCAAACTAAATTAAAATCTGTTGTGATTATAACAAAGCTGCACACTGAAGACATCTGAATTTGCACAATTATTTAAAAAAGTTATGAAATAACTCCTCCTTGCAAAGTTTCATCTTTCAGTAGAAATTATCTACTGGATTCATCAGAAATTCTGTAATAGAGTCTAGTATCAGTCACTTTGTTTCAGGTTCTAATAGAACTTTGAATCCTTCTCCTCATCTTTTTTGACTTGACCCATAAGAATCAGCTTGGAATAAGTAAAAATAAATTACTATAACAATAAAGACACTCCTAGACTGCAGGGATTTAGCGCAATGGCAGTGAAAGTCAACCATTAATGCCTCTTGCAACGCATAACACATGCAAGTGTAGCAATTCCATTGTTTTTTTCTCTTCTTAAAATATGTTTCAAAATTTTTGAATTTCAGATGATAATTTATAATGTGCAATTAGATCTGCACTTACTTTCTGGGCTGGTTCCAGTTACTGAAAGCTGCATTTTGAAGTTCACTTTCTTCTCCCTCCCCCTCTTCACGTTCTGGAAGCTCTGGGAGTTCCCTGATGATAAACAGGAACACACAATTTATTTCCAAAGAATCCACATAATCACTAGATTTTTCTGAAAAAATTCATATATTGAGTAACCCTGCCAGTTTCAGAATTTGTACACCAGATTCATGTAAGGAAATTCGTTTTCTGATGTCCTTCATAATACATATTGTCTTCAGGGATTCCCTGTCCACTTTTTATCTGCAATGAAGTATCCACAAGACAGAATAAAAGACTGTAATTTGGAACTAGAACCAAATCAAAACCAAAGGTAATTTATTGTTTCAAAATGGAATAAATTACAACAGCAGCACTCAAGTAAACTTATTGCTTTTGGAAATGAGTTGCAAAAAACCGATTATTAATCACTTTGAAATTTTGGATGGTAACTGACATGGATTTTTGAAACTCAAGGAAAAGAATGGCATAATTTATTCTTTCCAGTTATGTTCTGGAAAGACCATCAATACCAAAAGTCTTATGTTGGAAGCACTCAGTATTTGTGGCAATCCATAAATCCAATTTCATGGTATTTAAGAGAAATTTAGGATGTGCGAGAATTCAATCTCCTTTTTGGACAGATCAAACAGCCTTGTAAAAATGCTTAAAAAATTGCTAGTCAAAGCAAAAACTGTATTTTTAACAGCTTTTTATTGTAGTGGCTGCTGGTCTGAAGAAAATCATCCATGTTTCATCTCTTCGAAAATAAAACTTATATTCCCAAAATGTGCAAGATGTATGGAGTTACATTTGAGACCTATTTGGGAGAAAACTGTAAGCCTTTTGACTCACCTGACAATATGTGAAGGAAAAAGTTCAAGTGGCACAGCTCCCTCTGTCTGTTGTCCCAAACTGGCCCTGTACTCGTCTAAATTTTCTGCTGGCACATATGTAATACTGCAATAAAATGGGACATGATTAAACTAGCATAAAGAATGCCAGTCCTTCTTTTAGTGGGTCTGAGGTATGGATATGAGGAAGCCACTCAAGACTACTTTGTTGACTGCAAGGCCGCAGTGGTATGTTGGGAATAAGCACTTACACGAATCCTCTGCAACTTTTCAACAAGTACACATTTATAGTCAAATCAGGTAGTTGAACGGCACATAATTTTTTGTAACTAAAGTAAATGGTGCTTCAACAGTGACAAGAGACAATCCAGCTTCATTCAAAACACAAATTCCTCATGCAAAGATAAACATAGAAGTATCTGTGAGATCTGAAGCACCATTACCCTCAATTACTGCTGAAAAGGTTTCTGAAAGTTGGTCTGTAGGAGGTTTTGTGTTTTTCTGGGTGGTTTTGTATTTATTTTAGATTTCTACACTTTTAGTGAAGAATACCTCATAGGTTTGGACATAAAAATGTATTACAGCACACCATCAATGCCACAGGGACCAATCCCCTGCTCAACTCTTTCCTCCAGGCCTTCATGCACCTCCAACCAGTTTGGGACAGTCAGACAGTTGTGTTTTGTCAGCCAAATGATGTGCAGACTCCACTTGATGTTTGAATGCCAGAAACAGAAATGGCCCAATAGACTGGGGAGAGTTCAACGAAGAGGAGAAAAAGATTAAGGCCTGAAGATTATTTCTTGAAAAGCTTCCATCTGGGAGACAAAAGGATATCACAGTATATACCATGATATAAACAGGGACTTCATATATAGCGCTCCTTTAATGATGCTTTGTCTTAAAAATCTACAGCTTAGCTATCAGACTCAAGTATAACAAGTAGTAAGGCTGATGGAAAAAAGGCAGAAAAAAGTCTCTCTTGCCATGTATCACATTGTTAAAAGAAAAAAATAACATATTTCCCCGTGGAAGAGACAGGGATAAAGAAAAGCCACTTCACAAGGATATGTAAGCTGCTGGGAAGTCTGAGGCTTTCACATGGACCTGTCTCATGTCCATCATTCCTGATTGATGTCCTCTTAGTCATGTCCTGATTTCCACTGATCCCCCTTTCAGTAGTTTTTCAGCTGAGCACATCAAGAATCAGAAGAAATGCAAATAAACTTTTATACAACTAATAGTATTAGTCTAAAACATTCTACTAAAAGTTAATGTAAGGACCACCTTAATTTGTCCATCTGTGTATGTGTCTAAGCATGTTTCCTACCTTCTTGCATGCCTACCATGTCTAGAAAAGTGCAAAAAGGGTCAGCATGAAGGTGTCTAGGATGCAGAACAGAAGAATCTTCCTAGTTCTTTTAATGGAAATGTCTAAAATTGTATTACCGAAATTCATATCCATTCTAAAATCTTTATTATCACCAACTTTACCTCTGCCTTAAATCTTCCTGTTCTGCATTGGCCTTTTTTCAAACACATAAATGCTACTCCACTTGACACAACATATTTTCCTTTTGGAGTGATAAGAAGTTAACATACACTTGGAAACAAACTCTCAGCATAATGTCACTAACTCTTATCTGCCTTTCCTGACAGCATCCTAGCACTGGGAAATGCTAAAGACATGCAACAGCTATTCTGTGAAGATCCAGCAGTAAAACGGCAAAAACCAAGAGTGAAAAGAATTTTGGAGAATAATGACTACTATTTCTCAGCCATCTCCAACTCCAAGTGTATTGGGTGAAGTACTAGTATTATGCTCACAAAACTCTCATGGGTCAAATGCTGATGCAGCAGCTTCACCCAACAGGCCCATAAGAATACCTTGCCTCTACAAAACCTGTAAGACCTGCTAGTTACATTTCAATGTAAAAAAATGTTATATCCACCACTTATAAAAATAAGTAGGAAATAACACAGTTTTCCCTTGACAGAAAGATACAATAAAGAAACCAGAACTTCTGGCTTGAAGGCCTGGATGATCTCCTTTATGCTAAACTGAAGCTATGGTTCAAAACGTGGAAAGGAGAATGGCACACTCCTACAAAGGAAACAGGTTATCTCAGACTCAGCCTGAATGTACACAGCAGAGTGTGACCTCTGATAGTACAGGGTCTAGTATATATCGACTCTTGTCTAGTTCTTTTCTGCAAGGAGCATAAGGCAAATAATTATGCAGAACATCAAGATCCAAGGATAGTGGCAGTCCTTACCTTATACATGAGCACTTGAGATCAGCTGATCTCAAGGGGGAGGCAAACCATATGCATTCCAACTTCTGGGATACACTGTTGTGTTGTTCTGTGATTAAATAACTGACATTGTGCTGAATCATTAAAAAGGTATGGCTCAAAGAATGCTTTCCAAGAGTTTTAAATGCTACTTAGAAATGTCTCCAAAAGCTGCTCGAGCATTCCTTTCTGTGTACAGCACCAGAATTATGAAGAAAAGAGGTCTGCTTTACCATTTAAAAAAATGCATTCAAAATTGAGCAACTGAATAAACAATTGATTTCCACACATGGAAAAAAAATTAGATAATGTTACTGAGAGCTGTTACATTTTAGCTTTTTGGAAAAATACATTATTTCTACTCTAGTCCATAATCATAGTTCTAACAGACTAATTTAAAGCACTCAAAGGAATATTCAGTATGTTTTTAACTGTCCATTCTTATCTGTATGTTCATTCTCATCTAGGTTTCTGTAACATTTCTGTTTCATAGATATAAACCAGAACACTTGCATTTTGAAAAAAAAAAAAAAAAAAAAAAAAAAAAATAACCTACAAAAGAAAACCAAATTACATGGATCAAATACATGAAATGTTATATTCTGCATGGAGTTCACCTTTGTATCTTGCTCATGATTTCCAAAGTCCAGTTAACCACAAGAGTTTTGCTAACTGCTGCTATTACCTGTATTACTGATACAACTGTCCCCCTACTCTCTCTGTTCTGCATGTTATTACTGAAAGGAAAGAATATTTTCCCTGCTTAGTGCTCACGGACAGACACCTCGCAGTTATCAAATCCATCATTTGCTGGATTGCTGCTAGAGCTCACTTGGAGGTCAAACTGAGATCTGAAGACATTCAGTATCATCCTGAACAGTTCAGCCTATGGCTGGGATGATGAGGGGCACAGAACAAGAAGTGGTTTTGCCTCCTCTGACCAACTCTGTTGAACTTTGTGCTGTAAAGTGGAAATAAAACTCCACCAAGGCACCTGAATAGTTCATCTGCAAAACAGACTGGTAATGGCCTTAATACAACTACAGGGAAGACAGTAAAAGAAACAAAGGCCAGAAAACAGACATGAAGACAGAGAAATCAAAATAAATAAATAACTGCTCCACTCCTGTGTCATACTTCTTTGCTGCAAAAGAAATTAAAGTTTAACAGTTTCAAAGCAAAGTATATGCATAGTTTAATCATCTTCCTCTCTTGTAGCTTGAAAGAAAAGTGTTCTGGTTTTCTTTCTTGAGAGCTATCACCACTTCTACCCCCAGAGATATGCACTAGCAACTAAAGTAGTGACAATGGAAACACCAGTGGTTGTACATATGAAAGTATCTTGTTAACACAACACTGCATGCAGTACAGAGGAACATTGATCACATGCTTGACTGAATAGCCACACAAAACCTTGAAACACCAACAAATAAATTACAAAGTATGGAAAATGCTTAGGACAAATTACTGTAATTAACATCTAAGGTTCAGTTTGAACCTCTGCATACATGAAGGAAGTAAAATGTAAGTGCCACAGAAAATACGACACCGAGATTAATCCAGATATCAGTACATTGTACTCATGACAATTCTAGAAGTGAACCTTGCACACATACACACAACATGCACACGTGCTCTGAGCACATCTCAGGTGGCTGTCAGATGAAATCTAAAAATATTAGCAATAATTTTTTTAGAATACATGTATTTTCATTCCAGACTTAGAAAGTGTGCTCCAATCTTCAAGTTTAAAGCCATATATAAATAAATAATACAATTATACACACACAGTTGTATATTTTTTAATTAAAAAAAAATATAGACACACCCACTAGTGCAGCCACATGTGCATGCACACACAAACATACATGAGAAGAAAGATAATATGTACCTATATCTGGATATATCCCTGACATTACTATTGATGTCATAAAAACATGGAATGATTTTACAGACAAGTTGCAACACAGAGCCATAATGAGTTTCTAAATTGCCAATACTCACACATAACAGAGGGCCTGATCATCAGCAGGTGTTGGAGAAGATCTAGAATGTGAAGCATACGATGCAGCATCTTTTTACAACAGTGTTAATTAATATCAATGTCTCATGCTGAATGCAAGAGGCATACTTATGTATACAGAAATAGAGCTTTTTTTTTTTTTTTCCCTTTTTTTTTATCCTGTTCTACCTCCATCTACATCTAACCCAGAAAACATCTGCTCTTTATTATTGTCTATAGCAGTGATTATTAAGAGGCATGGACAATGGAATTGCAATCTCTTTTATTTCTTGATCAGGAATTCATCTCCCCTTTCAGTCAGGTGAATTCTAATTCAGCTTATAATTATCTGACAGATGTTACAAGCAGCTGCTGCTGAGTACAAAACACTGGCATTATTATGGAAATGTAAGAGCTCCTGGCAAGATAGAGTGAGAAGTGAAATAGAATGCATTCAGTAAGGCCACACATCTGGTTTTCTACACACCGAGGGGAAAAAAAATTAAATATACAACTCAGACTGCTGGTTCTTGAACTATTCAAAATCAAATATTCTTTAATAGAATTAATGAATGCCTTTACATGACCAGTAAGAATGGCTTTGTTTTCTCTGCAAATACTATTTGCTACTGTTTGAAATACAGTTTTGAAAGCCAAATACTTCTGCCTAATCACTTTTTGGGCGCACCCTGCTACCCCCAAAAAGCTCAGTCTAAAAGTTAAGTTAAATTTTGCAGTAAGGACTAAGAGGAATGATATCTAGATGTTCGCATCTGAGTGCTAGCGTACCCTTGTTTTCCAAGGAAGACACCCAAGAGATCCAACTTAAATCTTTGAAATGATGGCCCTTAAATTAAAAATGCTGCAAGGTGATGCACCACATTAGCTCTGAATTGACAAATACGGGAGGTGAACAAAGGAGGGGTGTGTATCCTTCTCAGCAAACATGAAGAATTATCTCAACACGAAGCTCCTCATCTCCAAATTTCTGATTTGGGATGTTACCCATATGTTTGTATCATAATACTTTCCAGGGATCCTGTGCTTTTCATTCAAGTTAAAAATTAAAGAGAAGTTTGATTATGCTGAATAGATTTACAGTAAAACTATGTAGTCCCAAAAATACTGTCATTTTTCTTGCAAGATTCCTTTAGAAGCTACCGGAGGATTTAGTCTTTCTGTTTCTACAGTTGAGAAGCTGGATTTACTTTAAAATTTGTCATAGGAATGCAGCAAAGAATATAAATACAAAACAAAAGACAAAAATCTTTTGTTGTCTTTTGTTTTGTACATATGTACAAACCGCCTCTTTTCTGCAGTATCTTTCAGAACTGGGATGCATTTTTCTCTGCAAAATCTGAATATCCACACCTAAGGGAGGATTTTAATATTTCCAACATACCTGCAAGAGAGTAAGACTACAAAACAAAACTTGTAGCCACACAGCATAAAATACAGAAGCTATAAAAGGATAAGCACAAATAATGAACACACTTGTATTTGATCATGAACTGCAGCACTAAGAAAAGACTCCTCATAGAAGAATGGTGCTGCAGCATTTGTGTCTCTAAGCAGATATACACACGCATGCATGTGCACATACAACTGATTTCAGTCATGACAGTTGTGAGTTGTAATTTGGAAGCCTACAATAATAACCAATGTCATACTTTATCAACACTGACTCGCTTATATTCCTGACACCATTAATAATAATGTAATTCATTATATGAGCATATCCCTTTATTAAAACAGGCTTACATTAAATCATAATCTTAAATGCATGACATCTATGGGGCAGGCAAGTATACCTAGTACACACAGTGAAGGTATTTTGCCCATCTGTTCCCAAAATACTAGGTCTCTTCCAAGCTAGAATACTTCTTGTTGAGTATGGAATGTGCTGATGCTCATTTTGAACTCAGTTCTAACCACAGTTACTCGTACTCACGCTGGGACTGGACTGATTCTTTCAAGGCCACCCTCTTGAGTAAGTAAAGGCTTCTATAACCAACAACTCCATTAATCCATTTCCATATCTGACCCAATCAATGTCACCACAGTCTAAACAGAGAAAATAGTCACTAGATTTTGAAGCTGTAAACTCAGCACTGGTGTGTCTACAGTTCCACCCACATCCTTAGGAACAGCTTGATTTCCAGACAGTGCTTGTGGGCAAAGTTAATTCCACAACCACAGAACCTAGAAAGAATTGTACTTTAAGGCAGTTAAAATTTTGTAAATTGTGTGAACTTGAGAAGAAGGAACTTTCTCCTCAAGTGGATTTCTTAAAAGTTGTATTACTTATTGGAAATTTAAAACTACTACTACCAAGAGCAGACAGTTATGCACAACAACAGCTCGTTCATATGTACTAATAAAAATTGGAAGTGACTACAAAAATCAGTGTTTCTACTGTTTGTCACAGACATACTGAAATGTTTTAAGCATTAATCTTTTGCATTAACATCATATTTCATACTTTCTGTCTGGCACCCAAAACTAAAACCCATTAAAAAAACTAAATGAAATTACTTGTGCAATGGCCAGGACAGTCCACCTTCAACAAACACAAACATCTTGAGAAAATTGTAACTTTCTTTAGAAGACTAATACTATGAATACAAAATTCTGTCCAATCCTATTCTTTCAAAAAAAACTAGCCAAGGCAATAATAATGATAATACTCATAACAGTGATTCCTAAGAACATCTGAAGCCTCTCACACAAGTGATCTCATCATTGAAATCCACAGAAATGTAATCTGAAGGTGAATTAGGCAACTGATGCTACAATTTAAAGGTAAATTGATGTGTAATAAAATTTTCATTTAAAATACTTGCATAAATAAACAAATTTTGAAAATCAGCTTCTTCCTACTATAACTCATCATCTAGTTTTACCTACTTTATGTCTGGTCCAATGAGTGAATGTCGTCTCAGCATAGCCCGGGCTTGTGCATTGGTTAAGTTAGTGGTTGACTCTTCATTAATGGACAGGATGCAGTCCCCCACACCAATCCGTCCATCACGACTTATTGAGCCTCCATGGATGACACTGCGAACTATCATTCCCAAACCATCTTTATTGGAACTTACTGTCATCCCTACAGTGAACACACATGAAACAGTTAATGTCTTTAAGCCACAGCTCTGGCTGCCAAGATAAAGAAATGTAACAGGGAAAGGAAAAGTCAGTCAGCTGACCTGTCAATATCATCAAGTCTGTAAGTATTGTTCTTACTCTCCCCCTTTAAGACAGCAACTACAAATCACAATCACAGTTACTTTACCTTGTTGTCAGTTCACATACTCAGCTCAATGCATGAAAAATTAAGACAGTGGAATATTTAAGCAAAAAATAAGAAAGATAATGAAATTGCTTAAAAAACATTTAAAATCACCACTCTTCTAATGGTTTACTGACTTTATATACATTTCACTTTCATTTATGACAACTCTCTTTGGAAAGAAGGTGAAATGAATGAACAGGTACTTAACAGGCTGAAAACAAATACACACTTATTTTCAACAGAAAATATGACTTAGATCCCACTGAGATGGTGGCTGCCTTCCCACTCTCCCTAAGCCATAGCTTAGGCCCAGAAGAGTACCCTGACTTCTGTGGAAGTCTGCATATTGCTAATGGATACAGACCAGTATTTTACTTAAAACATTATCCTACCTATGGCACACAAGGATACTGCTGGTCAATATTTATACCCTTTAACTCTACCTTCTTTCCAGTAATGGGAAATAAGACAGATATACTCTTGGCCCCTCCTCTCCCATGGGGAACCTATAAGGACTGATTTATGATGGTCTCCATATGTCCCTGTGACTGTTCTTACACACATGAGCTGTCACTTTTATCTACAGGGCAGCTGGTGTTCATGAAACAGACACCAGAAACAGTTTCAGGAAAAACTCAGTTCTTCACTAAGGTAGTGGAAAAGGCAGGACTGGAACCCTTGAAGTCCTTCCTTGAGGGACTTCCACTATCTTAATACTGCTTAATAAAAAAAACTTTTTATTTTTCTGAAATGTGGTTTGAAATTCTGAACCTAATCTTGCTGTTTGGTTAAGATAGTAACAGACATTACTGAGGGTAGTGTAACAGCACTTTAGGAAAACATCACACATACAACAATATTCACATTCATATTTTGTACATACGTACATTCTTATTTTTTATGCATAAAATGTCTGACAATTTGAACCCTGACCCACGTTTATATTTTCATGCCATATTACACTTGACATGAAATTTGCTTTGATGTTCACTGCACTTAAAATACTCAGACACATAAATAAAAACCTACTCCACTGAATGAAGAGTTTACTGCAAAGAAAACTTTTTTACAAAATATAGACACTTTGAAGTGCATTGTGACCTACACTTTATACAGACTGGCAATGAGGCCAGTAAATGCAGCAGTTAACCAAGCCCCTCATACCAATGAAAGATAAACCATATACCCACATCAACCTTTTCTACATCTTTCTATTTTTGAGACCCTGATTTTAAACCAGATTGATTTTGAAGGATGACTGTTTCATAAAGATGACGTGGCAGACTGAGCATCCAGCCATCAGAAAGCAGTTTATTCCAGGTCGAGGTCCACTGAAATACAGCATCACAGCTGTAAAAAAACCCTGACACCCACCTCTGCACAGCAAGAAAGTTCTGACTTGTGACTGTTTATAAACATCCAATCCTGTGGACAGCTCCTTTTAAAGCATTTGAGGAATTACTGCTAATAGCCAGCACCCACACAAAGCCCTGCCCTACCAATCCCAGAGAGTCTTCTTATGCAGTTGGCTGGAACAAACAGCACCAGGAACCTAAATCAAACCAAACAAACACACAAGCCACAAACAGTAGAGATGCATCACTGCCCTTCAACACAAAGCCCTCCTGGCATTGGCTCTGGGAGGGTTCTATTCTTGTTCTCCCCCTCACACTGCCCAGGGCCACACCTGAGAGCAGGACAAGACAATGAAAAACATTATCATCAGTTGTGTGTGTTCACTCCAAAAGGTGTTTCTAGTCAGTATGCTCAGGAAGTTGCAGTTTGCAGGTATCTAAAATCTTTGAACTTCCCTACAAAATGATAATATCATTAAGCCAAAAATACTACCTATTAAATTTATCAATGACATGATTTTTGTTTACAAATATTTGAAAATCTCATTTGTAGCTCTTTGACCATAGTGTTTTCTACAGCATTCCTTGGCTATATCTTGGTTTTCCATTATATCAATACATTGAAAAACAATGCATTAAAATTGTTCTGTTAACACCTAGGAAATACTGAACTCTTTTATGGGAAAACAGTTTCTCAGTGAGACTGCACATTTCACTTTTGTGCTCACAGCAACATCAAATGCATACCGTGCCATCATAGTCAAACAGGGCAAGACAAGCAAAGAAAGATATCCTGTCCCCGCTAAATGGAAAATATTTAGTTTTTACTAATAAAACAGGGAACATACAAGGGAAACCAAGTTATATTCCTGAAGAATTTACAAAATTCACTAACTTACCTAGGCTTGAATTGCCTTTTGCAATAATTATAGTCTTCTCATACATGTTTTTCACTGAATTTGGGGGTGTGGAATTTCCCTCCAAAGATACTGGGCATCTCTTTTCCACTAAAAGCAATTGATCCTAACATAAGGGAAAATAACACCAGTTCAGATTACCAAGATAAAAGTATGATTGGTCATACTGATCTCAACCACTTTTGCCTTACTCAAAAGCTATGCACATAATTACATCAGATTTCTTATATAGACACTGGAAAAGTCAGTTCACCGAAGATCATGATTTCTGTCTTCATTCAGGCAACAAACCAAAGCTATCACAATGCACACTTTTAATTTAAGGATGTCAAAATTAGTAGAATGAATTCAAGGGCTTCAGATTCATTCACCACAGATGTCTGACAATCTACCAGTACTAAAGGAACAAATCTTGTAAGGCATTTCAGCTCTTTTAAGCATTTCTTAATAAATCATTGAAGGAAAAAATAAGAAACATGTCACAGTGACTGTCATATAAAGGAAAATGGTGATTGGACACTGTAGCATCACAGGTCAGTTTGTGAGCTGAAGTGCACAAGATGATTGCAAGACATTCAGACCACATCCCCCTTGGTTTCCAAAAGGCCCAACTGCAGCAGTGTGCCTCCCATTTGCACTCATGCCCCTGTGAAGGTTATCAAGGGTTAAGAAAACTCCCCTGTCCTGCCCAGGAGTTATACTGTGGTCCAGCAGTATCTATTACGTGAGGCCTGAGAAGACTTGTATATATCCCTGTATTGATAGCCTCTGAGAAAATACAATCTTGATAGCATAAATTATGTCCTTTTTTGGAAGATCTATATCCCAAAGTTTTGATGTGAGCTAATTAATAATCAAAGAAATATGCACGGCTATTGGCCTGTAACAATTTCTGCAGGAAATTTTTGGGTCTAATTACAGGCTTTCTGTATGTTTTTTTAATTAAAAAAAAAGAAAAAAAAGAAAGAAAAAAAGAAAAATAAAAAAGAAAAAAAGAAAAATAAAAAAGAAAAAAAGAAAAATAAAAAAGAAAAAAAGAAAAATAAGGCAAATAACTTTACTTTTTCATTAGAATCAAGATGTGTGGTAGTAGCAAGGCTTGTATTTAGTACAATGTCTGATGCTGTCTGAGATCCAGTCCATGTTGCTGTATTTTCACTTTCATTTTGGTTGATATCTGAAACCTCCAGAGTCAGATTTGTTTTAGTAAAATCACTTGCAGTTTCCAGGCTACTGTCCACTACAGGCTTTTCATCTCTTAGTCTCTGATTCAGATTCATGTTGTACAGATTCTTCTCAGATACATGGAAATCAGCTGCAGCACTTGGGCATTCCTCTCCAACAGACTGTTCAACACAGGAGACAATGAACAATCACCATTCATTTGTAGTAAAATTCAAAACCACATTCATGATAGAACCTTAAACAAAATCTAATCTCATAGAATTTAAACATACTGCTGTAAGATCAGCAAGCTCAACCTCATCTGTAGTTCCCTACAGGCATTCATTCTACTATAAAATGAACTTGATTTCTTAGATATTTCTTCTGCTTTATAATACCAGAAATCAGTAAAATAAGTTACTAACTAACTTGAATAACTCCGGTAAGATTTTAAAATTCAAGCATCCAGTTGTTTTTCTCAGGTGAAAGAACTTTGCTAGACCAATATCTTTACTTTCAGCACACTTAGCAAGCAAAGAGGAATTTAAACCAGATCAGACAATAAGAATGCAATATTATCATCTATGTAACTGAGCAGAAACATTAAGACTACCTCAGCATGAGTGACAAGTAAGAACTTGTTCAGACATCAGCAAAATGTGAATATGGGGGATTTGAAGTGTGAGAACAATGAAATACAATAATGCAATTATAGAAGCTTACCAGTTAATAATTATTGCAAATATACCAATTATGGCTGCAGTACCAGAAATATGTTCTCTACACATTTGTTTAGGCTTCCAAGATTCTGAGGCCCTGTTTTTGAAATGTTTCAAGGGATTTCAATAATCACAATATTCTGAAAGAAAAAAAACTTAAAATATTCTCTAGCTGACCTTTTAAGGTAAGTTATTTTAAAAACATGTTGGCCATTAGATTTTAAAAAGATATATCAAGAACTTAGAAGTTAGAGACTCTGTATCATTATTAGGGATTTCTTTGCTGAAATGTAATAAAGTAACTCAAAATCAACTACCTCTATCTGTCTTAGTTGTTATTCACCGGTCCTATTAACTGTTCTACTGCTTTTCCAAAAAGCTGGGGAGACATTCTTCCCAGGATTTGTGGATATTTTGCAATATTTTTTCTCAAGAGCCTTAGAATTAATTTTTGTAAACTTTCATGAAGTGCATACATGCTTGTACTGTCCCCTGACAAGAATCAAAAAAGGCTTACCAGTAAATAAGTGGTTTAAGTAACAGCTGAGAAGATAATTGAGCAGAGCCTAAATACAACTAATCTTCACGATATAATCAATGACATAATTTCCTATCTTTTTGAGAACAGAACACGATACAATAATCTATTGAAATTATTTTATAAGGTTTCAAATACACCTAGGACATCTACTTTTAAGTCTGTTTTTTACCCATTTCTGAATCAGTGAAAATATGTATCAAATCATACTCAACACTTATTTCATATTCCATAGATACATATTAGGAGTTGCATCATATACTAATTTTTATTTTTATTTCACTTAAAGAAAAGCCAATGCTGTAATTTTTTAGGACAAACACAGTTCCAGGAATTCATACCTATAGTAGCATGTGGCCTCACTAGAGCATCTGCATTATTTTTTAAAAAAAAAATCCTTAAGTTTTATGTTTTTCAACACCTTTTTTTTTAAATGTGACAACAAAATGTGACACACTCAGAACCTGCCCTGCAGCCAGAAATAACTAAAATATTTGTGCATCCCTCACAGCATCAAATAGTGCTGTTTTAATTCTTACTGCATTTCACTTGCTTCAACAGATTTCATTAATGAATAGATTTTCCCACTATGTTTGTTTTTTGAATCATGAATAAGTTACTTGAGAACTTAATACCCACTTCATATTGGTGTACAGAGACAAACACTGAAAAATCAGGACTATGGTATTTTAAAAGAGTAGGTAAACCAAAGTTATGTTTAAGTCAATGGCAAAAACAACTAAAGACTTTCTGGAGCCTCAATGTGATATATAATGTAAGTCCAGTCTCTATCTCACAAAATACTCCCAAGCATGCAAAATGCATAATCCATTTAAGTAACAATTACAGAGTTAAACAATGCAAGCTGTCCCATTGGCACAGAAGAGATGTGCTCTTCTGTGGATTAGGAGAAACCATTAGGAGATGAATCTAGCTTTCTAGCCAGTGCCTCATAAGGGCTAAACATATTCCAGAAAGGTTAACAGGAATTACTGCAGCTCAGGTGCGGCAGAAAAAGCAGCAGCTACTCTATTCAAGACCACAGACTGCAAACCCAGTGGTTTTCAATGAAGACTGCTAGGAGAATGGAACTGGAAAGCTCTAGGTTAGTGAAATAAATCTAAATATTTAGAAGAAAGAAAGAATATGAAAAACCATGGAAAGAAAGAAAACATGATGAGGTCATTATGGGTATGTGACCAAGAACCAAAAAAGCTACTGATCTTCTTAATAATCTTAAATAAATCTTCATTTATTGCTTTACATAAAAATTATCAGCAAGGTTTTCTCTGATTTACTTTACTTTTTACTTTACTTTTACTCTGACTTACAGAGTTTTATGGATTTAACTACAGCATCATTATAAAATTTTCATTCAAAACCACAGAAACATACGAATTATGAAGCATAAAAGTAAAAATCAGGATGAAAACTTACTCCTGCTTTTTATACCGAAATATAGAGCAACAGGGCATTTTTGCGTTACCACTCTCTATTATGCTTTGAATGATAATTATATTTTTCTAGCAGACTTCTCACCACACCTTTAATACTACAAACATCTCACCATACTCTGACTAATTCATGCTTTATCTAGCAAAAATCCAAGCTTTGTGCCTTCTATCTACCTCTCTCTTCAACAAAGACATCTACAAGACATCAGCACTACTCTAAACAAAATTTTACTCTGGTGACACATACAGCATTTTGAACCAGGTTGACACAAAACATTTATATCAGATAATACAGCCTGCTCACTGTAATAAATAAAACCATCCTCAATTTTACCTTGGGAGATGATAATGGAAGAGAGAAGCTGTTGTTCACCTCACTGCTACAGGCACTGTCATGCAGAGCTGTCACTGAATGCTGGAAGACGTCTCTCTCTAGAGAATACTGTGATTCAAAGGTGGACTCATCCGCTAGATCTGCCTCGCAAGAGTCCACCTAACAACAAAAGCAATTCAATCAGCCAGGCTGTTGCCATCACACCACATAAGCCCCAAACACATGTACACCAGCCACTACATACTGATACTTTGCTTCTTTTTTATTCCATGCTTTAGATTGAAATTACATTTGCACAGCAGAAAATTTTGCTTGTAGTAAGTCTGTGTTACTACTTCCTCAAAGGTTGCAAAGAATATCTAAAGTAAAGCAAGAGCCTGAACCACAGTAAGCTGTGGGGCTGAGGCACGCTCATGCCTATTAATAGAAGTACAAAGAATTGGGAGAATTCTGCTGTACTTCTTGGTGTCAATATTCTGATTTCTTTGGGGCTTCTTTTTTCTTTTCAATTTTCTTTTACAAAAATTAGCATGGAGAAAATAAGGAGCTTCACTTGGTGGCACATGGCAGGAATGTTCCCTTGACTTAACTTTTCAGGCTCATTTATTTTTATGATCTTTTAAAATCTGGAAACTGCAGTGCTTTACAGTGCATCTATATGAAAAATTCATTTTCATGAATGAATTCACGTGATTTTTTTTAATAAATTTTAAATTGCTTTGCTTTTTACAACGAGATTACTATATTAATATATTCCTATATTTCTATTTCTCTTACATGAGAAATACATTTTTTTAAAGAGTTTCAGACATTTATGTGGGTAGTATTTTTGCCTTTATAAAAAATGAAAGGTTATTTTTTTCCAAGACTCACATTCTTTTAAATACTAGAATAAAATTAAGCCCTAAAAACCTTAATTAATGGTGCTACAGTTTGATTACTATTTCATCCCCCCAGAAGAGCTCAAGATAATAATAATAAATAAATAATAATAATAAAAATGATCACTGGGTTAAGAGCCATGACTGTATCATAAACTTGTATGAAGCAGATGAGTGTACCCATCTACAGAGATGGGATCTAACTTGTTTTTCAGCCCCTGTGGTTAATCGTATTACGAATCCATTACAGAAGTAGCAACAATCTGCAATAAATTGAATACACCGATTCCTTTTCAGGGTAAAAAGGATTATTTTTTTTTTTATTATTTCAAGCCTATAGACTTAACTGCTAATCCAAACTGCTTCTTTGCTGTAACTTACTCTCAGCTCATCTTGAAAATGCATATTTGTTTTACTAAAGCTCTGCCCTAAAAAATGTATTGTGAAAATTCAGGACATATCTGTGAAATCTGAGTATAGATTTGTCTATGAAAAACAGTACCTCGTATGTGCACTCTCAAAACATATCTTCAGCTGGGAGACTGCACATTTAGTTTCCTATTTTGCACATTTAATTAGACAACTGACAAATCTGATTGACAATTTTATTATGTCATGTATCTTCACTAATTTTTTTCCACAAGTTTCTTTTGATAGGAACCACAGATGGAAGTCAAAATTTTTAGATAGTTTTAATCTGATCATTTCAACACATCTTTAATTAAAGGTTATTTAGAATATAAAACTTGTGCTTCTTCTCAATCAATGGAGCAAGACAAATATGGTTAACTAACTGCTAAAGGTAACAAACTGAAGAATTAAAAACATGCAGTCTTGCTTAAAGGCAAGTTATTAAGCCAGTTTGTCATCTGCAAATGTGAAAAAACAGCAAAACTGCTGGAAGCAGTAATGCAGAGATTTTCACCTTTACAGGATCCATTTCAGGTTTTTGTTTGTTTTTGCATTTTTCTCTAATGAACAAAGTTCTCTGGTGTTTAGAAGCTGCTTCCCTGCTCAAGTCCTCAGAAAATGAGGGTCTAATAATTTCAACATCAGACCCAGACCAGAACAAACAACCATGAGAATACACACTTGGAAAACATACATATTCATGTGTATTCTGGGTTGGTTTTTTTTTTGTTTTTTTTTTTTAATTTTGTGGCAGGATGGTTTGGGGGATTTTTTGCTTTTTTGTAGTGCCCTATTTCCTGTCTTTTTAATCTGAGCTCTTATTGGTATCTTCTGGGCTATGTAAGGCACTGATTGCTCAGGTAAGCCACATTGTTTGTACAAGTGAACACCTTCTGACCTTGTAAATCGGATAATCACTGATTGATGTTGAAGGCTAAAGAATATTATTAGGAGGAAGTATTTGCAGCTTTTGAAGACTGTGCTCCTTGTAAGGCTGGATTACATGCAAAAAGAGAATATCAAAAACTTTTCACAGTAGAAAAGTGATATTATGATACATAGAAAAATAAACACAAGAACATTTCTCTAAAAAGGTGAGATTTTGAAAGGGCTGCTCAGTGCATGCAAGGACAAGTGGATAGCCATGCACTTGTGAAAACATCAGAAAATACTTTTCTTTCCTTCAGCAATTAACATATCATAGGCCAGATCCACAGCTCATGCAAAAAGCCGAAGTCTCTAGATGCCAGTTTCTATGAAGTCAGAATCCATCCCACCTACAGTGGATGAGTAATGTGGAGTCAGCAAACACTGAAAAATAAGCATGGACAGTGACAAGGCAACTCCTTTCACTACAAAATGCAAAGACTGAAGAAATCTGCGGTAAGTTGGGCCACTAACCAGAGCCAGCTCAGCATGGAAGAGGGCTGCATCAGCTGGCCCCTCCTCCTCAAGTGGCTGGGCAGTGTAGAAAAAGCAATCTTCCTTAGCAGAGACATAGCCCTCCTCAGGTGAAAGCTGCAGAAAGAACGAAGCTCTGAGTCGGATGAGTGGCTTGGACACAGCAGGTGCAGAGTGCATTCTGCAAGGGGGGCAGTGGGCTGTTTAGAAAGGCAAATGGATTCCAAATGCAGCAAAGAGATAATTTCAATCACAATCACAGAATTCAGTTGGTAGAGAGACTTTTTTTTTTTCTTTCAAAATTACCTGAATTGATTCAGTTCCACACCTCATTCTGAAACCCCAAATAATAAAAAAAGCTCTGTACAGGTATACCACAGAGTCCACAACTTAGTCTAGGCTCATTTTCAATTTCTGGTCTTAATAAAGACGTACTAAAACTGCCATCACATCTGCCAACAGAGAAGGAGCCTAACAGCAGAGGTCTTTATAATCTTGCTAGCCACAGAGCAATTTTGCTTGCAGGCAGGAAGATTTCATGTACTCTCTGTGTTTTACGATTGTATCTGTCAGCCTCTAGAGGACAAAACATAATTCTGACTATAAACCACTAGCTTTTTCTAACATAATTTTATAGCAGGTGCTTTTGTCCAGTACTGCAAAAAAAACAGGGATTATTTGTAATGTTTAATTAAAGCATAATACATGAAATATTGAAGTGGAAATGCCCTTTGTTTACAACTTTTGGGAACATAAACAAAACCTACATATATTTGTGCTTTTAGAGTGACATCTTCTAGAATATGAAATTATTGATTGCAATTAATGTGGAGACTCCAACAAAAAAATTAATTTAACAGAGCAAGTTAAAACATACTCTCTTACTATGAAAAGCAATGTTTGTGGGAACTTAAACAACAGCCATACCCTCTCACTCTCTCCACAAAGATGTGCTAAGAACGAAAATTTGATATCTACATCCACAAGGGTTGCAGGATTGTCAATTCATGAAAAGCAAAAATGAACCCCTAAAACTGTGTTTGGGCTTACCAATATAGAAAAAACTATCTTCCTTGTATGTATGAACTAGTGCCATTCTACTGATCTGAATTTAACCCATCAGGGATGCTCGCCCACTAGCATTCTTACTGCTACACTGTCTCATTGACCATAGGTTTCCTTTAAACCTCCTTTTTTGAGTTGTTCCAGACTACCTTCTAAAACCAAGCCTGAAATAATCAGTTAGATGTAGACAAATTGAAGACTACACACTTTTACATAAATAAAGTGTGTTGTTTAAATACAAAGATTGCACATATACTTTCGAAGGATTGGAATGGTAATGGGAAATGTGTGAAACACTTGCAAAAGGAGCAGGTGCTTTGTTAACCAGGCACAAAGTAACCACCAAGCTGCAGAGGGGGTGCACACCCACCACCCGAGATCACAAACTAGGTTTGGAGCCAGATGAGGGAAGAGACTGGTAAAAAGCAAATCCTGTGACATGGGATAGTGCTTTTTATCCTGTCCATGCCCTCACACAAGTGGCTCAGGTGTGAAAACCCTGCTCTGGAGACATAGCGGGACACCTGCAGAAAGCCTGAAGGTATTCATTCCTTCTCATGGACTATAATTGGCTCAACTATGCTAACCTGAGAGGAAGCTGTAACATCTTAGGTGTTATAAACCATCAAAGACAGAATGCTTTGTCATCTACAGTGTTACCTCAGACAGGGTAAAACTCTCAACCACACGGGAGGTACTTAGACATTCTCATCTAGCCTGAATGTGTATTAACTCATTGAACTTTGTGTTTCTCAGGTTCCCCCCATGCCTGGTGGATCAAGACTGTGATCAGCACTTTGAAGAGGCATTGAAATTGCAACAACCAAGTCTTGTCACTGGATCCATGGGTGATGACTACATACCCTTCTACCCTTATCCATTCTCTTTCTTTTCCTGTATACTTTCTAAAGTGTTATTTTTATTGCTTTTATATTACTGCTATTTTATAAGCATATATATATGCTTATATATTATTTTATATATTATTTATAAATGCAATAATATAAAAATGCCTACATTTTAAGATTTGCCAAGTATTCTTCTATCTTAATGTTCTAAAGTTTGCAAGTAAAAATTTGTTACTGAACCTCTTGAAAGTTTTGCTGTTTCCCCCACATACCACCCAGCATAAATCAAATCTCCCCAAGCAGAGTAACAGGCCTAACAATAGCATGAAAAGGAACCAGTAAATTCCACACAAATCAAATAAAAACAACTTTATGTCACCATCTCACACATTCAGAGAACCATGTAAAGTGTACAGTGTACAGTATTATGCCTGGCAACTTTCAGCCATGAAAGACTCTGCTGGTTGCAAGGTGTTTTGCTGTTTCCTCAGCTGCAAAACAGGTGTGCTAGGTCCTGCAACAGTCATGTACTACCCAGGCCACCCCTACACACAAGACAATAGATGGGCCACCCAGCTGTACTCCAAAACACACAAAATGTATGATGAAGTCAGGATCAGCATGTACCAACTTCAATGACATGAAAAGTACACACTGAATTCACAAATCCTTACAGGCAATGGTTTGGCAACTCCTATTTTAACTGTTCCTGTTGGGGCTCCTTTCAGTGCTTGCACTGCTTCCTCCAGGCTGCCATTTTCCAGGTTGATATCATTGACAAACATAAGCCGATCTCCAGGAAGAAGCCTGCCATCTTGCTCAGCCACACCCCCAGGAACTAATGAGCGAATCACAATTACAGTGTTTGCTGGATCAACAGGATCCTAATTAAATAAAAGGAAGAAAAAGATGTAACTTTTTTTTTTACTCTTTTATATCCTGAGAAGAGAATTTTTACTCATGAGCTTTTACTAACCAGTGTTGAGTTATGAAGAAGTGTTGCTCTCCTCTAGATGAACCTTCAGTAGAAGCAAACTATCTGTCTCTACCGTCCATACATTTAGACCTCCACTTATTTTTAATTTTTAAATGTGGAAATTATTACTCCTTTCTAGGTGATGTTCCATCATGTATCTCCAATATTAAATACTACTAAATTGCTCAGTGTTGTCCATAAACATCAGAAATTCATATACTTCCTACTGCAACAACAGTGTTGCAAATTCCATCCTCCCTTATACTCAGAGGTTTGAGGACACAGGTGGGCAATGTAGACTGGGGAATGTAACACGTGCACTCTAGTGGAACAAATGACTTATTTTCAATAACTGTCTTATAGTTCATGATCTTGCTCAATTAAGAAAGCAGTTTTCAAGAGGCAAGGTCTTGTGTATGCCTAATTAATTACTTACATGAGAGGGGAACATACTAATATAGTACTCTAATACACAAGACAAAGTGATGTTTGCTTTTAAGAAAACTGCTTTTAAGTGACCATCCTCAAACATACTGATTTTCATAAATAAAAGTTTACATCAAATACTAGTAACAGGAACATATAAGTCTGCTATAACTATCATACATACAAAATATTTGTATGATTCTTACAGAACTACATTCACAAGGAACATCATGTTAATACTTCCAACACCCAGTTCACTTGAGTGCATGAACAGAAAAAAACCCAAAAATGCAATCTTGTAACAGCCTTATTGATAGCAAATATAGAGAAAAGTAAACTACACCAACAATTGATTGACTGATCAATTGATTGATCAATTGGTCAATTGATTGTAGATCAAACTACATTTGACCTACAAATCAGCATGCATGGTAACAAGTTTCTATGGCCAGATGTGTATCTGAAAGGAGGGACACCATCAAAGCAACATGAAAAAGCCACAGAAATAGGAAGACTACTGAAAGCTGGTGTGGGAGAGAAATGTTGATGGATGGAGGGTGAGAGGTATGGAGGAAGTGAAGGAAGGACATCAAGAAGACACTTAACACTTGATGACACTTAGTGCAGTAAAAAGAATGCCATTTCCAAGTCCATAACTAGCAGTGCTGCAAATAGTGCTTGACCCTGAGCATTGACACGTTCCTCACTATTTTAATAACAAATACTTACACTGTCACTTTAGATGGCACTGTGTGACAAATTTTTTGGGAAAAAAAAAGAAACAAGCCTCTCTAGTCTGTGTGATAACCTTCCTTAGGGTTAGAAATTATGTAGACCTTTCTACAGGCCTGCATTCTATAAAACATGAGGAATGTGTTAGCACAAACATAATTCTCCTCAAGTTTAGTCAATGTTCATTGAAAATGAATTGAAAATTTGATGGAAACAGCAAAATACAAATATAAATCTCCCTGTAAACTTACTCTTCACAGTCTTATAAGAAAGCAAAACTTCAGTGACAGTGAATTTTTTTTACTGCATATTAAAGGAGAGAATATATGACAATACACAAATATTATAACATCAAAAAAGCGCTAAGTTTCAGAAAGCTGCCTAAAGCTGTAAGATGAACTCATATTTGAAAAATATATTAAACAACTTTAGGCACTTCCCAAAAGCCTTTAGTACTATTATCCATAAACATAATTCAGTCACTAACCACATACACACCCACCATTTGTGTTAATGCTCAGAAGAGACTGAAGCAAAAAAATGTTCTACTGTGTACTGACATGGACTTCAAACACTCAGGCTCATCTGTGATTTCTCACTGCAGAACATCATGAGCAACACTTTAAAGAGTAGTCAGTGCTTCCTTCATAAAAGACACTTGCCTTTATCCTTCACATTATTACACTACACTGTTCTTCACCTTATCAGTGTGCAAATGCAAAATCTAAGCCATAGCTTAACTGTAAGGGTGCCCTGGGGCCTTAATTTCCACCTGGAAGTTATCTCCAGATGTAAATGCATACACTCCTATGGACAAGATCCAACAGAAGCCTGGAAAGAGACCTGATCCCCACAGCACTGCAAAACAGCTCAGCAAAAGCCTACACTGACCTCAGGGAGAAATTACTTGACATTCAGCTAAAAATTATCCACTGTAAAACTGGGAACAGGAGGAATATTTTTTCTGGCATCTTGTCCAAGTGAAGCAAAGAGACAGGCAATGAGCTGTTCATTGGCACACACCATGAAACACAGTTCAGATATCCATGAATTCTAAAGTCAAACACAAAATGAATCAGGACAGTTTAAGCATGTCCCCGACAGACAGCAGCTAAGCAAGGGATTTCAGAATTACAGTTCTGGATTTTAATAAATCCTGCTTTAAGCATTTAAGACCTTTATTGGATCTTGCCCTAAACACCTCACTGCAGGTGCAAAATACATGGCTAAATGCCTAAATATGCTGGCTACATCATTCATTGTCCCTGGGTCACTAGAAGACAGCTTTGTGAAAACCCTGGTATATACGGATTATCTGTTTTTCTGAACCAGTATTACCATCATCATTTGAACCTGTAGTCTTAATACAATGAGAGGAATATGTAATTACTGGAATGCCTACCAGCACTGATTAATTCTACTCTATTGCTTGGTTTCAATTAATGAAATAATTGAAATATATAGAAGCAAGATCTAAGCAATACAAAGTATTTTGTCCTTCATCCAAAGAAGTTACCTGATAGTCCAATATGCTAAATCCAAGCCCCATACTCCCTTTCTCCAGCTCAATGTGCTGTACTTCTGTTTCCCACATTGCCAGAGATGAGCTTTGCACCTCTTCCAAATTCTGACCCTCATCAGCTGTTTCCAATATTGTTCCCTCTGTGTCTGAGGAGCCAATGAATCCAAGTTCTATGTGGCCCTGAGAAAAAGAGTAAACAGTCACCAATAAAATGTAAACACTTGAGAATCTTTAGAGACAAAAATCTGCTTACAAAAAACAAAACAAAACCTAAGTGATATATCTCTAAACACAGAAGAAGAACAAGCACTCAGGAGATTTAAAAAACTCTGATAAACCTAGCACAAAATTCAAATATCCCTTATAGCTAAGCTGCAAGTATATTAAATTACTCACTAGGAAAATATTTAAAAAATAGAATTTGTGTCAAACTAAAATCTTCAAAACACTTTATTAGTATATGCATTCAAATATATGTGAAATATATATTATTACATAGTATGTCTAAAATATGCCTTTATTAAACGTAATCATACTGACAGCGGCCAGAATATCTAATAAAAGTAAAAAAACCCAAAAAGTAAAAAAAAACTGTTCTTCAGTCTGTTCTTCACTTGGTTTCACAGAGAAGTTTAGAGACTATAAGCCAAATATGGTGCCTTGCTCAGAACTCAATAGTTATCTATTTCTCTTTTCATACAAATGCTACTATTGTTTTGTATACTACACCCTAGGCCATTCCTAGATGTTTAGTTCATCAGGTTGCCCAGAGCTGTGCACTTATGAATAACATAAATGTCAGTCAAGGAATGCTTACAGTTATCTGCAAAGCAAACCCAAAAAGCACAGTCCAAAACTCAATTAAATACATTCAGATTCTAAAGAACCCACAGTACAACTTGCTATACTCCTATATTGCACCTACAGAACAAGAAGTACAGCACTTGGAGAGATACCTCCACATCCTAGAATATTTTTGCCTATGACCAGCCAGGATCCGTATCTTCTGGTGGCATAAAAAATAGCCAATAAACGTTATTTGCTGTTTCCTATTTGTCTGGCTCCAATTCCAAAAATATTAAAATATATTTCTAATCTTGTAGAGAACTTCATCTGTTTTGTTTTTTTTCTCAAGGGAACTGTCATTTTCAGCATTGTTGAAAGAAAAAATACCTTTTCTGTGAGCTCAACTTCAGACAGGCTTAGACTCTCTAGTATTTCTGGCTGAGTGACAGGTGGAGCGACTGGACGACAACACACCATTGTCACCTTAATAGGCAGCTCTTTCAAGATACTGACCACATCCTTGTGGTTTTCTCCAAGGAGAGAAATCTCATTCACCTCAATAAATAAAGAATATATAGAAGTTAGAACTACAGAGTATTTATAAGCAACAAAAATGAGTAAAAGAAACCCCAAGCAAACCCCAACTCATTAATTACCTCATTAAAAGAAAGTAAAATAAAAGCAACAAAAATCCCCATGCTAAGAGAAACTTTCAACCCTTAATTTCTACTCAATTTGGTGCTCAGCACCAAGGTATGTATTGAACTGAATGTATAGTCTTTTAAATTGCATGACACCACCCTACAAGCACCACATACACTGTAGCTTCATGTTTATTGCATTCATGTAAACCAAATTCCCATCTTAGTTCTAAGAAAATAATTCAGAAAAGTAATTAGGTGTTTAGTCGCTTCACTGAGTAGGGATAATCCTATTCAATCTTAATGCTTTCACTACATAGTCTTTTTTGGTGATTGTCTTGGTTTCAGTTGGGATAGATTTAATCTATTCTCAGCAGCTGTGCAGTGCTGTGTCTTGGGTTCAGTATAAGAGTAATTTTGATAACACAACAATGTTTTGGTTGCTGCTAAGTTGAATCTACGATGTTTTACATGCTCTGCCAGTAAGGAGGTACAAAAAAGGCAAAAAAAAACAAACATGAGGGAACAGCTGAGCTAAGTGACCCAGCTTAAATTGGCCAAAGGGATACCCTAGGGCATCATGCCCCCAGTATATAAACAGGGGAGTTAACTGAAAGGTGCACTGATCAAGGCCTGGGGACAGGGCCTGGCATTGGTCAGCAGGTGGTGAACACTTGCACTGTGCATCACTAGAGAGGCTTGCTTTCTATTTTTACTATTATTATTATTATTATTATTATTATTATTATTATTATTATTATTATTATTTAATTTGCTACAATTATTAAACTGCCATTATCTCAACTTATAAGGTTTTACTTCTGATTCTCCTCCTCACCCCACCAGGCTGGGGGTGAATGGGATGGGTAAGGAAGTGGCTGCATGGTGATTACTTGTCAGCTGACCATGACAGAGACCTTGGACTGTATCAAAAAATCAGCTACCAGCTGAGAAATGTATGTAAACATATGTACTCACATAAATACATGTAAGTACATATAAAGTGATTACTCAACCACTAACAGGCATGCTGTTAGGTATATATCACTCCCATGGTCATAATCTCTGAGAAGAAACTTACTGCTCAAAAACCTTACTGAATGCAGACTAAGATAAAATAGTATTTCATCTTACTTCCAGCAGTTCATCTCCACTGAATAGCTTGCCACTTCGTCCAACTGGCCCTTCAGGTAAGATAGATCTGATGAAATGATGACCCACTGTAGCTTCAAGGCTTATCCCTAACCCACTGCTTTCACTAAATTTGTTAACCACAGCCACCTAAAATAAGATGAAGAAATCTTTACATTTGTCATATTTACAGCCAGATCTGTTACTTTCCATTTCAATTTACATGCAATGAGGTCAAAATTCCAGAAGTCAGAAACCAGAAGTACTATCATGTGTAATAGGGACAGGTAAAAACTGACTTGCTAGTTACACTACACTTTCGAATTCACAACTGAGAACTGCTTATATATCAAATAATACATCTGCAGACACTAGATCTATGACATGTGATTTTTGCAGTATCTTCTAAACTGAGATACTGCTTTTCTTCTGTATCTACCATATATGTTCTATGAAACACAAATAATTTCACATTTCTATACATGAACTTATTTATTCAGTATGCAAAAGAAGAATGAAGTTTTAAGTTCTAGCTAATGAAGGGAGCTTTGAAGTTAATATTAAGTTTTATTTTTTTCACTATTACACATTTATCCTCCTGAAGCAAGAAAATTGGTGAAGCAATAGTCATGGGCAGAATAATCTTACAAGTCTGTTATGGTTTTCATAAAAAAAATACACATCTATATTCAAAGTCTATAATTAAAATAATCTTAACATACTAATTACATATGTGTAATTTTCATACATGAAGGAACAAATCCAACACAAACATATTTATATCTATATGTTGTCAACATAATAGATGCACAGATGAAATAGATGCACATTTAACCATAGTAAACAAAATTTACCTACCACTATTTCATAATTCGAACCCATAATCCTCTGCCATTTTAGCTTTGCAGCTGCTTCTTCTGTACTAAGCTGGAAATCTAAAATTTATATTTAAGATTACTGTGACAAAGAATTAAAAAACGTAGTCAGCTCCTATAACTGATAAAGTATATAGAACATGCACAACGACATAATCATTCCCATGATGTCAGAATTCTCTTAAATATGACTAAAAACTTAGCATGTTTAGTCTCACCAAGCTTGGGTTTACCAGAGCAAAAACTCACAAAGCAGTATTAAGATTCCAACCACGCAAAACTAACTGAAGTATTTTGAAAAACATGAAGTTCAGTCAAATAGTTTGGTGTATGTGTCTGGGAAGAAAGGATACATACTAATCTCAGAGTTGAGTCAATTTTTGGCAATGTTTCAAGATAACAGGCAAGAAGGAAATTAAAAGGTTGTATTCAAGCCCTATGTGTAGTGGTTAAATCAGACTACACGTGATCAGATCCCCCTGATCAGAATGATTCAGAGGGATGGCCAAATACTTAAAAATGTAAACTGCACACTGATCCTTTTGGACAGACACTGTATTTCACAGAGAATGTCCAAAAACACAATCTGGAGATTTTTTTTTTTTTTTAAAATTTTTAAAACCATGAGCACAACTGTGAAAGAGTTTTCTGAAACTGCAAGCCCTAGTGGTCAGTAACAGAATGCAAGAAGTCTAAGCTCTTTGCTTTTTTTTTTTCTCCTAGACTCACATATATGCCCACATACAATGAAATACAATTTTAATTTATTATTTTAGCTAAACAATTTTAGCTAAAGAACAGCAATGAACTTGGAAAGGAAGGAAGGGGAGAAGTACAGTGATACAGTGACAGGCTAGGTAGCAAACGGGCAAATCTTAATTTGATTGAAAGTTTATTTGCAGGTTTGTAAATCAGAGAAATGCTTTCTTCCTGCTCATTTCTCCCTCATTCATATTGTCTAGTCTCTATGGCAGAAACCAGTAAAAAGCAGCATTTAGATACAACAGCCAGCAAACACAGCAGGTTTGCAAGGATCCTACATATTCATGGTCTGGGCTGTGTCTACAGTAAGTATCAAAATAAACTCTTCAGATTTGAATTCTCATCACAGGCAAAGACAAGAATCTTCATTACAAAGTTCTCAAGTCTCACTGATTTTAGTAAGAATTGAAAATGACTAAGAGCCTCGGACAGTATTCCAAGTCTAGTTATTGCTCAGAGACATTACTAAGTATAAAGTCAGATGTTGCATGGTATTCAAATAGGACAATACTTTCCCCAAAGCCAGGACACAGCAGTATCTGAAGAAAAGACATTAAAAGAAATTCTTTCAGCTATCCAAGAAAATCAAAAAGTATGTGTTATGAAAACATACATATTGCAGAACTTTTCAATTCTCCCTTTTACTCTGGGAGCATAAAAATGTTACACATCAAGTTGGCACATCAAGTTATGTCTGAATCTGGAAAGTGTATCATCACACGGGACTTCTGAAATGCTGAACAGTGTTCTAGGAGATCAAGTAGGAAAAAAATAGAAATAAGGAATTTTGGCAAAAGTATGGGAAAATTTGGAGAATATCACTGCACCAGAATTTACTGAATTTCAGACGTTATCAGAGAATACTAAATGAAATAAATGTAACCTCAAGAATTTGTGAAAAGGAAATTAATCAGAAGATGTAGAAGTCATGGAAGTATAGCTGGGCAGCTGCAGACAACTGAAAAGATAATTGACAATAGGAAGGAAAATTGTTTTTCTAGACTAGACTGAAAAGAGCAGATATGCAAAACTAGACTAGGAGAGAGTTGCACAAGAAGCCAAAGCAGATTGCTTAATACGACATCTTCAGCATGTAATTATTTTCAGACACATACAGCAGTCCTATTCCTACAACACTTATGATTAAGAGTACATGATTAAATGTATGATTACTTTGACTTTCTAGTTCTACCTCAGCTACAGATCTCACAGAAGATGGAAAGACACACAAAACACCTGATCTTTGCATAAGCACACAGAAGTGCATTTTCACAGAATAAAATATTAAACCTTGAGAACCTGTTTCCTGTTGTTTCATGTCATCTCCAATATTTACCACACTGGCACTGCATGGCAGTGATGGGGATCCCTGTTCTGTTTCATTGTTATCTGAAAAATAGAAGAAGTCTTTTCAGCCGTTTAGCTATTTTATATGTCATAATACTCATCAAGGTTTCACAGGTTTGCTCTGGGGCACCAACTCCCTCCTTCACTGGACTTCAGAGTACCCATATTTGGCAAATGGAATCTGGCATGGGTGAAGAAACATCCCATTTCAAAGATGTTGTCTTCTGCTAATGCTTTGCCTTCTCCAATGAGTTTCCAATGAAAAAAAAGAATAACAAGAAACCCAGCAGAAACTACTTGCATTTCTGTGACTGAATGAAAATACATCTAAATTTAACATTCTTTAACATTCTTGTGTAATTTTTTTTTCTCTCTTTATGCAATTCAGAAAGCTGAAAACAAAAAATGCTTCAGCCTGGGAGACCTGCATACCTGGCACACTCTTCATACATAGAAAACCTCTCCAACCACCAAGTTCTGATATGTATGTTGCTGCCTGTCAGATGTCTTGAACACCGATAGGCTGGAGAAACAGCATTCTGAACACTTGGTCTATGCTTCTTGTTAAAGGCAGGAGTAAGAGGATGACATACAGTAAAATGCTACTGGCTCTTTGAAAATCTTGTGTGAGATGGGGATTAGGCCTCCGTTGATTACTTGTGACATACTGTCACTGACATCAAACTATAACACAAGTAGCTGTTTAGCACTTCCAGCATTCAAACTGATTTTCAAGATGTGGCACATATACTTAAATATGTGCAGAGTATGTAAGATAAAGCTGCACTAATTTCATGTCATCAGCAGTAAAATTACTTCTGGTCTTTGGCTTCTGAGCATTTTACACAAGCATCGTCAACACCCTATCAGCCCCTAAATACAGACTACTCCTCTCATACCTGTAGCTTGTAACAAGCAAGAGTAAAAGGGGATGAGATTGATTATGCTCAATCAAGGAGGGTCTTTCTCTGCTCGCTTTTGAATACAGCTCTCATCCTTGAGCATGAATAAAACATTTGCTACCTTCTTACCATTCAAAGACTTGCAGGATCAAAGTCTTGAAACAATTCAGCCAGAAGTGCAATGAAGGAAAGAACTTTCAACACTCACTTTGAAAATGTAGCAGATAATACCACTGTGTCTAAAAGATTAATCAAACCATAGTAGACGAAATTCCACCCTCATGTGCAGCAGCTCTGCCATCTGTAACAGCTATCCAAAATGAATCAGGCCCATTTTATTTCCAGTTTGCATTTGAGAAGAAAAATGTTTCAAGCCAGCTTTACAGCAAAGCCAGTTTTAATTACCTTTGGCTGTGGTACCATCCATTGTTTGGAATAGTAAGTCTTTTTCAACAGGAGCACTTAAGTCCTCCTGGGGTGGAATACGATTTTCCTGCTTAAGACCTCTTCTGATCAAAGTGAGCCGAACCGTTTGTCCTGTGTGCCGCAAAACGTCAACTGCTTGCTGGTTAGTAAAACCCTGAAGATTTGTTCCATCCACCTGCAGGATTAAGCAGCTTTTCAGTTCACCCAGAGAGAAAAAGCTCAGGGCAAAACAAGGCAGTGAGTTCTCATATCTGTTAGCCTAAGCAAAAATCAAGTGGAGGGGCAAGAACAAAACCTGTATAACTTTATGTAATTGGATATGCTAGGCGCTCCCGCTGGAGTACTCCAGAGCTAGGTGACAACCAACACCACAGCAAAGAGGGGAGGAGTGCCCACCATAGTGCGGCCAGGCAGATTTGCTCTGCAACGTGGGAGAGGATACAACATGTGCTGTGAAGGCCATATTGTGCAGCCTGTCTGCTCAACCACTTCAGCCATCTCTAACTCTGAGGAGAATATACTGGGTGAATAACCCAACACAGCCATGGCTAAGGGTTCTAGAGAGAGTAGAGTTAAGGAGAGGCACATCAATCCACTGTGGCAGAAAGACCTACAGCATGCAGTCATTCTGAGGTCAAGTAAACTTAGATACAGAGAAGTCAACTAATGAACACTGTGAAGTCCAATTTCCAAACACAACACTTTTGTAAACAATCAGATGTTATTGCTGGTTCATCCTTTTAATAGTTTAAACAATAAAATTTTGTTCTCTTCTGTTTGAAAATACTTGATTATCTCATTAACTTATTTTTTTTTCTGAAATTCAAAACTTCGGCATTTCTCAATTCTATCCCATTATCCCTAGCACCCACCACATATTATTCTTCTTCTCCCTCCAAACTCCATAATATCCTATTATTCCTCCATCTACCCCACAGTGCCTTAAATTTCTCAAATACTTCTTACAATACTATGCTCTTTGACTCCTGTATTTGTTTCTGCCTATCTACACAAAACACATACTTCATTATTTCAAGTCCTCCTAAATGAAGACTGAATCCCCTGGACCCTCAGTCATTTGTTGTCCTTCTATGAAATTATCCTAGATCTAAAGTAACTAAAAATCAGATAGGGCTATTTAATTTTTCCTCCACACTTAAACCATATTTTAAAAATATTTTTTATTCTTCTGTGTCTGAGATCACCCAAATAATTTTCTCCTTCTGCATCTGCAGTAGAAAAAGAAAACTGGAAAAATCTGTTTAAGCTGTTTGTACTCACAATGTAAATCATTAAAAGCGAGACATATACTTCCACAAACAAACATGCAGGCACTCTGGAGAGAGACCATAAGCTGTTCTTAGTGCTATCTTCACACAAATGCAAGGACAGATCTATGAGCGACACAAAAATGCGCTCCCTGCATTCAGGATCTGATTTCCAACACAAACCAACAGTTTATGGATGAAACTATGGTCTTCTTTCTCTGAATACCTAAAATCTTATTGACACATTTTTAAAATAATTTTGAAAACAGTTACCCGATTTGAATCAAATTTTGAAATTTCACACTTACTAACCTCCCACAGATATATAATGATATACTCTCACATACAATACAGGTTTTTTTTAAGAAATATAAGTTATGTGCTGGTAGCATAATCAAAAAAGCATGTGATGAGATACTCTGTCAGAAAAGGACTGAGAACTGCAACACTGATCCCAGGTATTTTAGTACTACAGGAGCATTTCTTCACAACATAAGAAGCAGTCTTGTAGACAAGCAATCTCCCTTCTTCCTGTGTTTACTTACAACTATAATTTGATCTCCCACATGGATTCTGCCGTCATGTTCAACAGCACTGCCTTTTGTAATGCTTTTCACAAAGATACCAGAAGGTTCTGGGATGAAAAAAACGGGAAAATTAATTTAACTGATTTCTTAAGAAACTATTTGCAATGCAAGTAAAGGCACCAGTCAAAGCAGGGAAAAAAAAAACCAACCAAAAACCAAAACAACACAATCTCTAAGTAAGATAATAATAAAGATAATCATAAAGAAAGAAAAAATTTAAGAAAAATGTACCTATTATTATCATCTTAAAGAATGAGCCAGATTAATGTCTGCTTGCTTTGGATCAATTTCATTCAAAACCTTAAAATGCCAAATTCACAATTCTTGATGAAAAACAAGAAATATTCTAACTTACTTTAATCTAAATGTTGAAACCAACATAGACAAAAACATAGCTCTGACTTTTGCCAGATCTGGACAGAAAATTCAGCTTGAGTACACTAATCTGGTAATTTCTGAATTGTCTATGTACTTAATAACAACTTAAGAAAATCCACGTTTGGATTGCTAAATTGAGAAAATGATAAGCGAACTTAAAAACCACAACTTACGTTTTAACCAGTTTTTAACTGCAGTATTCACAATTTGATAAAAAGGTAACAAAGTTTTAAAAACCCCAACAAAAAAACTAAATTAAACAAAACAACCTCCCATCAAACAGAAACAGTTACTAACTAGTTACTAGTCACTATTTTTGAATCAGAAGGAAATATAGAGGAAACACCTACAGAAGGATATTTTACTAAAAAAACATTTCAGGAAAAACACACTTGCCTTTGAAATAAATTCAACAGCTCAATAAAGTGAAAATATATGGAGTTCCTACATGCACATTTTGTACAGCTTACATGAAATCAGGAAAATAATAGAATAAACTGGCATGAAATAACTCTGATGGTCTCAGGCCTGTAACACTGGTATCAGAAATCTTAAATGCATCTCCTTTCTCTCAACAAATGTTCTCACTCTGTTAAATGAATATGTTTAATGTGAAGATAATCCACTACATAATGCATTTTGAAAGCTATCACAGGCTTTGAAGATTTCAAGCTAACTTTGTACTGGCCCTCAATATGACAAAAATTGCGAGGAAGGAGGGTTAATGACTCAATTCAGCTTAGGAAAAATAAGATTACATATATATTCCAGTCACCACATCAAAAAGTCCCTCTTTTCCTATATCTATATATCTATATCTCTCTCTCTCTCCATATAGATATTATTTCTTTAGGGGAGGGAAGAAGGGTGAACTTGGTTTTTTTTTTTTATTTGCCCAGGTTTTGTGCATAATTAAATAGCTGGTCCCCCTAACTTCAAAGCATGATATTTGTTGTCCAGTAGTTTTATTGCTGCTTCTTTGACAGGAAAGTTGTTCTATAACTGTTATGTCACAAAATTGAGTTACCTAATTAGTTCCTGATGCAAGAATATTCTCTAACATAGTTACAAGCAGCACAGTAATTTCAAACTGAAGACTAGTGATACCCAAACACTAAATCAGTTAAAATATGCTCTCAGATTTATACATGTTCTACATCATAATTTTGAAGATTCAACTGGAAGCTGCTTAAAAGTGGACTTGCACAAACTGTGCCTGTCTGGTCCTGGAAGTCCAGTTTTTTCTCATACAAAAATTAATAGCTGTAAACTGCCAAAAACATGGAAAGTATCTATCTATCTATCTATCTATCATTTTTTGAACAACATACACGTGGATACAAGTCAAACAAACAGCTCTTTGAGAAGCTTTATGACACATTCAAGAGAGATCCCTTCCTTGCAATATTCAATTTGCCAAATTTCCCCTAAAGAGGCCTAACAGAGTTCTGAATTATTCTTATGAAAAATGTAGTGGAAATTACAAAGTAAAAATAAGCAACTGTCCATTAACATTTCTGCATTTATTTATTTAAACAATCTTATTTACTGTCTGCCACAGCCCACAGGTGAAGAAACATTTATTACATCCAGAAGTCATTAAAGAAGTCATGATGTGCTAGCAGCATTACACACATTGTTTAAAAATTAATAACAATCTCTTAAGACTACTTAGAATGCTATTGTGTTGCCTTGTAAGAAGGCTACTTCTAAGAAAAAGGGCTCAACCTATTTTGCCACTTATTTTCAAAAACACGTAAACACAAGTTTAGCCAAAAGAGAAGATAAAAACTGATTTAAAAATACTGAGGTAGGATTTTATAATAATATCAATTGCTTTTATTCTGAAAATCCTTCTTATAAAAGGAAACCAATTACTTTTTTCTTTACAAATTTCAAATAGATTTTATATGGTTAAGGATTTTTTTAAGAGAAGATATACCAAGATTAAGTCTTTGATGCATATATACTATAGTATGCAATAGACTGCATAATAAAGTGCAGGAATCAACAATTACCTGATGTCTTGTCTCCAATGTAACCTGCAATAGTTATTCCTAAACCCTGGTTGTTTTTAGTGAGTTCAACATTGAATTTCTCCCCATCTTCACAGCTATCAACAGAAGCATCATCCTAAAAAGAAAAGGGGGATTAGAAATGAAGCTTTCCTTTTTTAAAGATTCACAACATTCTTTAATGTCAGTAACACATATAAAATTAGATACAAACACAAAAAAGGAAGCATGAAATTTGCGTCTGTTCCTGTCATCAGAGAAGCAAGAAACAGTTAGCATTCCTCATGGTAAACAAATGCAGGGCAGGTCATGTCTTCACCCCACTACTCTAACATATCAAATCATTATTTAAAGACCAAAATGACTGGTGAAAGTTGTACAAATTGAACAATGAAATTTGTCTACAGTAAGTTATATTCATATATATATATATATATATGAATATTTAGCTTGCTGCCTTTCTGGAACTCCCTCAGAACTAACTTTAGATTGGTGTGTTATCAAAAACAAGAAAAAGAACCCCCAAATTGTATTTTTTATTCTATTTCTAAATTTCTAAGTCTAAATTTCTGCTTATTAACTACAGGTATCCTTTTAAAACTTGCAAGCTTAAAATATGCTAAAAGCTATCACTTAGGTAATTATATTTCTTGCTCTTGAAATGCTTAAAAATTTTGTTTTAGTACATAGCAATTATACTTCCAGCTAGCTAAGTAATTACAATCTTCATTAACACCTGCTATAACTCTCAGAATTTCAGGAACAACAGATTTTGGCGCTGTTTAATTACTTGTTATTAATGAAAGTGGAACACATATTAAAATCCTATTTTAACAATAAGGTGTTTGTATTAAAAGTTTTTATTCTGTCCCTTCTGCATGCCAATGGAGACTATTTTTTTTTTTAAGAGCCAATACGGCAACCAGGCAGATACTAACTAAACCCAGTTTAAATAGGTAAGTATGTGCCAGAAAAGACATCAAGAGAGCTATCATGCTACTTGCCAGAAGAGAATCAGACTTGAGCTCTGATAAAGTATCTCTTTATCCAAGCAACTCCACCAGACAACCAAATTAAACACAAGAAAAATAAATGTTTAATATATTAATCATCCCTCTGATTGAAAATACAGGATTATTTTGGCTACAGGTAATGCCACTAAAAAAAGATCCAATTCCTATAGCCTCATGAATTTTTACAGAATAGGCATCTGCAGGTAACATGACAAGAACTGCCATTTTGCATAGCCATGGTCTAGTTTTAAAAGCATCATGAAGTTTAAGGGCATCCATCCACACTGTATCAGATAGGAAGAAACAAAAAAATTTAACTGTTTGAATCATCATCTTCACTTCAGACCCAAATCAATGAGTTTTACATGACTGTTAACAGGGTGCTCCTTCCAAGAATGTGACTTTGTGTAGGCAGGACCAGTCTAAAAATAGCCTGCCTCCTGCCAGGGGAGAAGCACCAGGAAAGAGGTATTGAGAAGTATGGAAATTGGGAAGGTGGCAAAAACCTTAAACTGCACCCCTTTGCTGCTTTGAGCTATTTTGTAAGTACTAGAAATCATATATATTCTGTAGCTGCAGATACATCCTTTAACATTGCATCACATAACCTCAAAAAGGCAAATACTGCAGAAATACACACATATTAAATTATCAAATTCAGCTTTTATTTTGAGAGATGCATTTCAGACAAGCAATACTAGGGCTAAACATCAATCCCTTTATCTAAAATGCAGAAAGGTTTTACATCTCTGAGTGCTGTAAAGACACAAAAGTACTAGTCTATCTCTCGTCTTCAATGCTCAGAAGCATCTGTGTTAAGCTTAGCTTTCTTTGCTTTATAGCCACTAAACAGGGGATGAATATATGTTAGGTTTTCACAGATATCACTACAATGGACAGAGACAAAATGATGGTATCACCATCATAAATTGTTACATAACAATCATGCATAAATGGCAAAGACTTTTTCTCTTCTGATGTGACTTGTCTCAAATCTACATTGCAAATGAAGAAAATGTCTAGAAAAACAGCAGGAAAAAGTAAACCAAAAAATTCTACCTAGGGGTAGGCTCAAAACCAAACCTTTTCTTCTCTCATTAATTTACTTCATATATTAACATTTAAATGTACCTAGTCATAGCCACATGTGGCAAAACAGTATTGATTCTGATTCCCATGAAACCAGACTGTTACAAAAATGCAAATTATCTGCTTTATAGAGATCTTGAGTTGACAAGTCATGATAATATTTACAGCATTTTTTAAGTGGCTGACATTTATAGAGAAGTAACAATACAAAGTTCGATCATCAGCAGGGGGTAAGGGCAGCAGCTGGCTTACTTTTTTTAGAAAACATCTAGCAAATGAGCAATGACAGGTGATGTAGGAAACTATTAGCATCTGTGTGCTGGTGCAGGGAGAAAAGTTCTGATGAGCAGATGAAATTATATGGAAAGAAAAAGGGCAGGCAGAGAGAGAAATGCTGAAGAGTCATTAGTCATAGTTCTGTCCTGAAGGAAAGACTGCATTGTTTCAGGTTTCCCAATGTAATAACATACCCTTATAAGTAACCCAGAACAAGTTGTTAATCAGATTAACCATGGACTCATTAGATTCAAATTCTCCCAGACTGTCAGATGAGAATAGTGCTACTGGGAAAGAAAATTCTAGCTTTTGAGAACCTAAACACAGAAGACATTCAAATAGCAGTTAAAAAGAAAAGAAGTTTGCAATGAGTTACATATGTTCACTGTTGCTTACCTGTTTCTCTGGTGTAGAGGTGGGCACTGGTGTACCTGGAGGAACTGCTGGTAGAAGTGACTCCTCAACAGGACCTCTTGCAATTACCAGTTTCACTCTATTTCCACACTGCCTTAGAACTTGTGCCACCTGCTCACTGCTCATTCCAGCTAGGTCTGTATCACCAATTTTCAAGATGTGATCTCCACTACACAATCTTCCATGCTGATGGAAAAATAATGAAAAAATGGCATTTGTCCCATGTACCACACAATTAGAAAAAAAACACATAGCTTTAGTCACTTCTAAGACATATGAATCAGGTAACATTTTTTGGATAGCAAGTCAATATCTTAATAACATGGAGAAGAAAAGAAGGTTGACCAATGGCACATGACTTTTTCTAGGAGTTTCCCCAGAAATATCCAGGACATCCTTTTTAAAGATGTCACCCAAGCACAGAGAAAATAATGTGTTTAGCTATGGTTACTCCTTCTGGTATTTAACTACTACATGTAGATTGCAGAACTTTGGGTTTCATTTTCAAGCACATTTCCAAAAAACAGATACAAACATATAATCAAACTTACATAAAAACACATACATACAAACAACAAAACAGATAATTAGCTTTGCATTGATACTAAAAAACTAGCAGTAGTAGTAGTAACAGGATTAACCATGACTTCAAAATGAAATTAATTTCTCTCTTCCTGTGATCCAGCTATCTAAATTGCTTTACACTGGTTTAATCTCTTACTGATTTACCTTTAATTAATAAAAAACTTCACATTAATTTAGGCCACATGATGAGTGTTACAGAGACAGGTTTGTAAAAGGATCTACGTGTTCATGGAAAAGAGGACAGCAGTAAATTCTGTCCATTCACCTCCAGGCCCTGTTATCAGGCTACTACTGCTATTGTAGGAAGACTGACCAGTCTCTGTGTCTATTCAACCCTTGACCATCATTAATGCAGCCCTAGGTACCTGTCCAATGAACTAGCTTGAAATGAGCTGTGATACCAAATTCAATTCACATGAACCCTTCAGGCAAGAGCAGAGCTTGTGTCTTGGAGCAGACGTGAAGCCACATACTTGCTTCAAGCTTCAGTAAACTCAGCAGAGAAAAGCAGATGCTCTTAGCTTTTAGACACAGCAAGTCAATCTTTGGAGTCCTCATCACCCCTGATTACAACCAGTACACTCATGAAAGAATTAATCCTCTAAATGCACAAAACATATAAAATGTTACAGATTTGAAAATGTGATTTAGAGCCTAATCCATCTTGAACATCCAAATGCAGAGACTTCTGCACTAAACACATGTTTAAACACAGAGAGGAAAAATTTCAGCAATCACTATTTAACTTTTCAGTTTTATTCCGATTAAAGCTACCACTATTTGGTCTGCTAATAAAAGTAAAGAGTAACTTCACACCTTAGTGAACAGTAAGAGAGAAGTAGGTTGAATTTACCTGATCAGCCACCCCTCCTGGAAGGATGGTTTTAACAATCACTCCAGTTGACTTTCCTCCCACTATCCCAAATCCCAGACCTGAGCCATCATTCACCAGCTCTATGGTCTCCACATGCTGCCAGTGAACCTAAAAGGAAAAAATATAAGCTTGCAAATTATTAAAAACATAGAATCATAGAACTGTTCAGGTGTAAAAAGACCTTTAAGATTATCAAGTCAAACTACTAATATATGAATAAGATTTTTCAAGTTATTTTCTCTTATTTCTTATGTTTTTAATAATGTAATTGGAGGAAGATAGACATACAGTACCTCTTTAACAATTACTATTAGGTGTGATATTACGTAATATTTAATCAGAAAATTGCTAATTCTAAGTACTTCTCTGGTACAAACCAGAGTGGGGTAATGGGTCAGACTTTTCAAGGACTTGTCAAATGAATTTAGGCAGCAGCCTAGGGCTGCCCACCTTCATGCCCCTTTCCAGTCAGTAAATACTGCTGCTAGAAAACCACACAAGACTGGAAATTAAAATTTTCAGATAAGTACATGTTCGCATCAGCCATTATATCAAAGCACAGTAGAAAGCAAAATCCCAATTCAGTATTTTTAAGGCTGAAAGGAAACCCAAGAAGTTTGTTACAGCAATAGTGGAAGAGAGCAAGCCTCTCCTATGTGCTGGCAGGAGAAGTCAGGTTAGTCAGCTGCATGCCTGCACACAGATAAAAGGAATAATTCTGACATTCCTTCAGTAAAGATTTTATGCTAATGCTTAAAAAACCTCTAAAACAGTTCCTTTTTGGAGACTGATTGCTCTCTATATTTCTGGTGGTTGATTCCCTTAAAGAAGGGCTATAGATGACTCAACAGTAAAACCTCCATAAACCAAATATAGGCTGTTTCATCGCAGTCATTACATGAGTAAGATAAGGGGAAGAGAAATTACAGTTAATATCACCATCTTTATGAACTGTGTTGTCTACACCTAGAAGTGCAAAAGCTCTCATAAGAAAGGAATTGTAGTAGAGCTGCTTTTTGGGGACTCCTTAAGTACATCTTTTAACTTTACTGGAGCTCCCACACTAACAGACAACAGAGAAACAAACACAAAAGTACCCATCCAGCTGGTGATGCAGATCAGATTACAATGCCTCAAGAAATTGTTTGCTGAAGCAAAAGGCAAAGAAAAAACAATCCTGTTTACTGCAACTTCAAAATAAACCTTCATCAAGTAAGGTAAACATGCTGTATTTGCACTTGTGGATACAGATAATTTGGCAGATGGGAGCAAGGAATGCATCCAAGATGAAGATTTTTTCCCCAGCAAGCCTGAATATCTTCTACTCTTTGTAGGGGAAAGGTACAATGAAGATAAATTGAAGAAAAACCTCAAGAACTGTGAAGAAACGTACATACGAGTTACAAAAAAAATTACTCAAAAGAGTATATGCAGTAAGTACATGCATGTCCAGAACTGAATACACAGATGTTTGGGCTGTACTCACCGGGTTAGAATGGGCTGAAACAGTGCTAGCAGCAGATGGAGACCGGGAAACCACAGGACTGATGAGCTGAGGAAAAGTGCCTCTAGCGACAACTAGCTGGACATTATCTTTTGCTTTCTGCAAAATGCTGATAGCCTGTTGATGTGTAATTGTCTGATCAAGGGCTTGTCCATTAATAGCAAGGATTTGATCTGCTTCCTTCAGCTTTCCATCTCTGTCACATAGGTGTAAACGGGAAGAGAGATAACAAAATAAACAAATAAGAAAAATCAAGGAAACATTGCCACTGAAAGACCAATATTTTGACAACTTTCCAGGATTTTTAATAACCTGGTCTCTATTCCCCACCCCCTCCTCCTTTTTTAATTCCCCCCTGCAGTCTTGCTGAAAGGAGCTGTTGTGGCATCCTGGTGATCCCTCCCTTTGAAGCTAATTCCACTGCTATTTTCCCCTGGCTGCTACCCCCTATCCAGTGTTTTTTTCCCTGAACCCCCATGCGAGACTAAGCATATTAATCTCAGTTGCTCCCAACCACAGCCTGGGAATTTATGTTTATCCTTGAATTTGAGCCTCTTGCTTTACAGACTAAGTGCTCCGCTTTGTTCAATACAATCATTCTGAATATTCATCAAACCATGGGGTGGAACACACTTTCACCAATATGTTACGGAAACAAATTTTGTTTTGCTGAAATATAAATAATAAATAAAAAAGAGGACAAAGAAATAAAGAAATCAAACAAAAATCGTAAAATAGACGATTTTCCCCTTTTATACAATGGGGAAAAAAGCCCTGAACAAATTAAAAAAAGCTCTTCACTTTCTGACAAAGGAAACGTTACTGTAAAATTACATACTGAGTCCTTCCTCAGATCTGCTCCAAAGCAAGTGTATGAAGTCTACGCAGTTGAATTACCCTCTCTTTTCTCCACCATTTCTTTGCATCCCAAAGTGACAATGCTTAGATAACAAAGAGCAGCAAGGATCTCTATTACAGCAGCCTTTGTAAGCACCTACACTGTAGAAACCCAGGTAGAACACTCAGGAAAAGAGTTTAGCTTCAACTTATAGTATTTCATTTGTGAATTTGAACTGTTTTTCAGAGTGCTCTCAAAGACTTAATACTGCCAGAGTCTTTCTCATTTATAAGCTCTGAAACAGTTGCTGAATGTTCTTTTTCTTGACAGTAAATCAGGCAGGGCCTGATTCAGTAGATAGGTCTCATCTCCAAGCAGTAAGTGTCAAATGGGAAGGAAACAAACAAACAGAAAAGAAACAAAACAAAACTCACCTAAACCAAACCAAACCAAAAACAAATGAAAACAGAAAGTGGAAATTAGGCACAGAAAGGGAAATTCTCTGATGTTGTAGAGATATAAATCATGCCACATTTTCTAAGTGGTTAACTACAATTTACTCTGTATATCATGTTCTTGTCTCTTTTGCTCATGTTCTTATTAGACTTACAGTGTTCAGATCACAAATAATCCAAAAATAGCTCCCTAAAACACAGTGTGAAACAGCACCAATGTGACTCAGTCTCTCCATACAACATATGGAGTACTTCACAAAGCAGCTTGGGCCAGGGTCCTGAGTAGTGACACACCTTACCAGCCTGCAGTGAAACACTGCTGCAGCCATTTACCACTGAGTTTGTGCGCTCCCTCGGGCACTTTTCTCAACATTACCTGAGGAATCCAAGTGTAAGTCTAAAGCATATTTTCAGCAAGCTATTATTATTGCTAAACTTATGTAATACCAGCTGAGTATTTCTGTGAATATCCCTGACTTTAGATCGAGACTTGCTTGACTTCAAATCTTGTTTCCACAGCTGCTCAATAGAATTCAACCTAATAAATAAGACTGCTAGATACAGCTGACTTTTTTGCAACAAATAGTTCTTCAGTGCATTGAACAATGACAAAATATGTATTTCAGTTTTAAAAGACGTGACACAGAACAGTAGCTTCCTCTTTTTTCCTATTTAAAAACCCAAGGGAAATGTCATTTGTAGTTTCTATGAATTAAGAACAGTTCATACGATGCCTGTTCCAACATTATATAAATGATGGCAAGCAATTTTACATCTGCAATGACACTCAGAATATGAAGAGAGAAACATGCCCTTGTACCACAAAAATAACAGCAGTAACACAACTGTGTTACTGAGTCACATTAACACTTGGTATAGTAAAATATTCAGTAGTAATATTACCTGTGTGCCACACTTCCCTCCTGGATTTCTTGCACAAATATTCCTAGTTCTCCCCTGTTTTCACTCTTGAGTCCCACAACACTGAAGCCCAGACCACCACTTAGAGGTTTAATAAGGTCAATTGTCTCAACCAGACGACCCTGTTCAGCAGAAGTTAAAAAAAAGGGTACAAATGTTAAAAGGTTTAAAATGAACAAAGGTTAAAAATGTTGAAAAGCAGTAATAATAAATGTGGCAAACAACTTGGAAATTAATTTGTAATGACAACTATAGCTGGACAAGACTATACAAGCTACTAAATGAAACATAGTTGCTCATTTCCAATTTCTTGCTATCATACAGAAAATATTTGAGAAATAAATATTATTACAGCCTAGAAGAGGAAATCAGGATACAAAAGTTAAATATACGGAGTTTTGGTTTAGTAGTGACTGAAGTAGGATGTATATCTATTTTAGAGGGCACAGGACAACTTTCAAGCAAATCCAGAAAAAGGATGAATTTCAGAAAGATAGAAAAAAAGTTGGATTATGCAAAAAGGCTCTCCTGATACCATTAGACTTCTCCTACCCTGCTCTATTACAGATTAAATAGATATATCCTAGAATATATGCCTGGGCATTCCCAGCTACAACCACTGAAGGGACTCGTGCACCATTTCTGCCTACTACAGGAAAGCAGTAAAATTACAGAACAGTGCACAGCAAGGTCATTCCATTTTATTTCCAAGAAAGTCATAGGACTAGCTTTCATTAATTATGCATACAAGAGCATGCTCTAACAAAGCATCTCCCTCATGCATAGAGTAGTAGCTCTACAACAAGCATGGAAAAATAATGGCATACTGATCTATAATACACAGACAATGGCCAACTAAGGAACAGCAGCTCATGAGTGACTATGTCAGGGCTAGTTTTTCAACTGCCTCCTCATTTACTAATTGTTTCTCAAATTGAAAGGTTACTTTTATTTTATACAGTAAGTGGAATTGTAGTTTGTGTAGTAATTCAATTGCTTTTAAATATAAATATATCTTAGTCTTCATATAATCAGTAATGCATATTTTGTGGTTACTGTATGACAGGGTTACCTGGGACATGTTTCTGATCAGCTGCTCAAAGTCATCACTAGAAAATTTCCCATTAATCTGAGGAGTAATGGATCTCATTGATGCCTCTAACACATCAGCTGGGCTACCATTCTGCTGAGCCAACAAATATGACTCATTAAGCGGCAAGGACCCCATGTTCACACCATGATGGAGAAGCTGAGGGAATTCACCACTGGAATGTATGGAAGGTGTAATATTTACCTGTAAAAGATTGAAGGAACATGGAGTTATAGACACAACAGAAAACTTCTCATTAGGTAAGAACATTATCATATGCCAGCTGATCATTGTAAGTACCTGAAATTCCAATCTGCAATTTTAAACAGACATTTTAAGAAGAAAGTTAACCTTCAATATTTATACCCAATGTAAAACTGTGAACTACAAGTATAAAACACTAAATAAATTGATTAAAACAACCCAGAATTATTTTCCATACTCTGTCTAAAATTCACTTTTCCCATCACCACAGCATCTTGAAGTATTCCATCACTATGTTAGAGGTAAAAAAGAACAATTTTTTTCTACAGTACAAGTAATTAAGGAAAAAAAAAAAACACAAAAAGCAAAGAAATAAAAAAACCAACCAAAACGAAAAAAAATGTTATCAGTTATTTTACAATAAAAAGAAAAGTATGCACATATTGAAAAAAATAAGTAAATCTCACAGCTACACAGAGAATTTCACTGGTTATGGTTTCCGCCTAACTGTGTTCTACAGCACGCAATGTGACTATCTGCATGAGCTAGGATTAAATACAAGATTACTGAACAAGTCTAAAACCACTAGGCTGATCTGAATACGCTTACACAGCCAGACTTTACAATCCACTTTTCTTAGAACAGAAAAGAAAGTAAGAAAATCCTCTGTTTTGCACAGCCACAACAGATCACCTCTTTTCAAGCAGATCTGTGCCGATCTATCTAATGAATGGCTGCTGGCCATATAAAGCTCAGGTAAAGCAGAAACCTTAATTTACCTTCTGTCTCCCTTGCCTGCTGACTGTCAATTGGTACTGCTTTACTCCAGACAAATTTGCTTCCCACTTGCCTGGTACACTATTATATTGCAATTTCAAACACTTTTCCTTTTTTTACAATGCACACTTTCTAACATTCTGCATCACAATACAGAAACCTAAGGCTCCCCTTCCTTAAAGTCACATTTGAAACTTCAAGTACCAATAAAAATTTCAAAACAGTAGATATATTCTAAAATGTCTACTCCATCAGTCTCAATTGTTCAAGCATGTTTTATCTATTTGGTTTATCACATCAGTCCTCCAACAGTCCAGTTATTAGAAGGTCAATATTGTTCTCCATCATAGAATTCCATCTCATCTGAGTGTTTTAGGAAAATGCAATAAAACAAACATAATTTGTTGAACAACTTATGTGGCTGGGAGGTCCTCAAGTTAAAGAAAAAATACCACAAGGCAGCATTAGAAAAAAAGAGTTCTCAACAGCATTTCTAAGCCTGTTCTGACATAAAAAAAAACTGTAAAGAAGAAAATTTGGATGTTTGGAACTCAGTGATTTTTATATCACATTGATAATGTTCTTGATCTGTACTTGTGAGGAATCATTTGGGTTATGTTTCAAACAAATTGCAACACCTAAAATCTGCACATATGCACTTTCTTTAACCACATACATTTGTGTTGGCAAGCTTGTAAGGCACAGGTAGACAAGCTTTGTTTCACAGTTCATTTCATAGAACAACACCCAGAGACATAATCGAATTCTGCCCTTCTGAGAATATAAGACCCCCCCTTACATTATATAAACGGATTTGAAACTAGTAAGGTCTGTGACATGCTTGTGTTTCTTACCTGCATAAGGTCATATAACAGGTTAATTCACTTCTACCTTCAATAATATTGTCCATTTCGAAACTCTAAAACTGAATTTGCTCAATTATGTATTTTATTTCTTATTCTCCTCCACCTTCAAATCTTCTTATAGAGCCTGTTCTGCTTCTTCTCACAAAAAATGGTCATTGGTGAAATCATTAACCCCAGGAGTACCTAACATTATTCAATTAACCATTCTTAACTGGTTATACTAAAAATATTTTTACATTTCTACAAGCAATATAAAGCAGCCTGAGAATATGAGATGCATACCTGAACTAGGTTTCATGAGCACCAAAAGACCACAGTATATAGGTATGATGTCACAAATGTTAGTAAGTCATAAATTCAAGCTCATTTTCTAAATTGCAGTGCTTGTTGCAGAAAACAGCACTGAGCTACCCTTTCTGCCGAAGGTTACCATCCTCAGAGCACTCTTGGTCAAAGCAGTCCCTAGGGAATTAATCACCTGCTCTGGCAAAGCCAGGCAAAGTTAGCCTAAACAAAGAACAGAATAGTACAAGTAAAACCTACCAATTTTATCCAATGTCAATCAGTGAGAGCTCACTAAACTACTTTGATGGAGCTTTTGGAGTGGTAACTTCAAACTAAGTGAGCCGGGCTCAGCAGCTGAGCATGGTAATGACATCAATCAGTATGATTACACCTCAAGAAAAATACATTAAATGCCTCCAATTTCATTTACCACCATTCTAACTGTATTATTCTGCCCTGGGGGGTCTTCTACTGTGGTAGGAGTTTCTGGACGTTTCATGTTTCAGGGTGGCAGAAGGGTATTACTTGGTATCATTGGTATTACTGATAGTCTCATAAAACCTAACTGTGTGTGAACTCCCCACTTTGAGTAGTCATTTTCTAAGACAAAAAAAAGACAAAAGAAGGAAAATTCTATAATAACGCTAAAAGCAAAATTTGAGACCATGTACAGAAAGCTAGAACACTTTTTAATTTACAAAGAATGAGCCATGCAGGCAAAAAAGGAGAGAAACAGAATTTTATATTACAGAAACTGACTGAATCCATTGCATTAAATTTATTCCATGTCACCACACAGTGTTTCAGACTGCTAACGCAGAGACAATCCCAGTTTGTGGAACCTCTCTCTGCATAAAAAGCCTACGTCTCCCATGTAACTTTCATGTAACACTTCTTTACACACAAATGTGTAGGGAGCAAGTTGCACTAGAAAAGTCATGCACAAAAACTGACGTCAAGCTACAGTTATTAAAATTATGGCAGTTTTAGAATAGCATGAATGTTATTCTACTATTATAGTAGAATATATATTACTGTTCACAGTATGTTTGCATTATGGTACTTTTTTTCTCTAATACTAATAAAAGACTTTCTGTATGCATAATCACCAAAGAAAAAAATGGAACTACCCATCAAAAATAAAAGGTGTTAGAGTATGACACATTTCCCTTATGGATAGTATTACATGCCTAATCTGAATCCAAAATACTTCTTGTACCACTCAATCTTGTACTATGACTTAAGGGTGTTCTAGTACTACTGAACAGTGGTTTGATTGCTTTAGGCAGGTCATTGCACTGTTTGCCATGTTCTAGGAGCAGAGTAGCTATAATGCCTACTTTAACTTCCACCTGAACATCTGCCCAGTATCACCATGCTTTTCTGTACTCAAGTTTGAAGGACTTCTTCAAAAAAGATAAGGCAATGTCCTTAGGGAATTATGGTTTTCTTCCTGGTAGAGAATTTGCACATTCTCATGTTTTTACATTGTGTTTTCACTGACCAAGTCCTGTTCAAACTGGCAATATAGTGATCACTTTCTCTGTTTACTTCATTCTTTCTCCATACTTTTGTGAGCTGGGGCATGACTTCTCCCATTTCTTCTGCCTTTCAAAGCAAAAGATGGAATTTTTTCATGTTCATATTCATGTTCTTCTAATACACATAACTTAGTAACAATTCCACTATTCTGAAAACACTATTTATTTGCATGATGGTTAAAATACCACTGAAAATAAGTCTTGCATACTATATATATTGCAGGAAAAGGAAAAAATAACCTTCCAATTCACACTAGATTAACTAGAACTTTAAAAGCTTCTTCTCAAAATTTCAAAATTTGTTGTAGCTGTACAACAGCACAGCTACAACACAGTACTGAACACAGTCACATCAAGAGCACTTGACAGCAACATCTCATTTTCATCACACTCTTTTAAACAAACACTGTGGAGGAAGCCCAGTCCTCTGACAGGCTCCCTCCCTGGAGATCTGCCCCAAGATAAGACAAAACCACTTAGTCATGGTGACTAAGCTGTGGACCCCTTCCTGATTCAGGACCCTATGTTATCTCCCCGTTAACTATTGGGCATCTTATCCTGGTCTCAGACCACTGGCCCCTTTTCCAATTCTTCCTTTCCTGATAAAAACCCTGGCTTTTGCCCAGATCAGGAGTAGATCACTGAAGCCTGCATTAAAGAACTCCTGTGGAACACCACATGGTCTCCTGTCTCTTGTCTATGCGCAGCTGGTGTAACCCATGAGCGGAGCTGGCTGGGCTGATCTGAACTGATCATGGCAAGATCAGAAATCACTTCTAAAACAGCTGATCACTTGAAGCCTCAGGCCAAGGTCCTAAGGGTTACCCCTGGCTGGAAACTGCCTGGAACTCCCCAGACAGCGGCTCCTCCCCGGGATGTCTATCTGGGATTGTTGCTGGCAGAGCTGGGGGTCGGACAGACACCCAGACCCAACCTCAACAGAGTGCTGCCCGAACTCCACGCTGGAACCTTGAAACCACCTGGGTCCTGGGACAGAGCATTATCCCGCAGAGCACAGCCTCAGAACTGAAGCACCGTTCAGATCCTCACCCCTCTGAAGACACCTTCTCTGTCAGAGAGTATCCAACGAGGCAGCTCCAACACCTTTGCCGTCACCACCTGGGAGAAGAAACCCCAAGGACTGGAATAAAAGCCGAGCACCCACTCTGCAGTTTTATTTTAACCCAACCAGCTGGGAGCTGTAAGTTAACCCAGCCTTTTTCTGCACACTACTTTATTTCCCTGGGCCTTTTTGGGTTTATTTTCCTCTTTTTTCTGCTGGGCTGGGACCTGGACTACCAGTATGGGGTTAAAACTACGGAAGTTTCTGTGATCCCAACTGAGAGAGACCTACACTCCCAAATTCTACAAATCGTATCTGCTAACAGTTTCTCTTTCTCTAAAGGAAGTCTCTCTAAAACGAACCTAAAAGCATTTATTCACTGGATTTCTAAGCATTTCCTTGACTCTAACGGACAGTCTGTCTGTCTCAACTCTTCCTGGGATAGTGTAGGGATCAAAATATATGTCT